TATGGGTATGTAAAATGTAACTTAACAGCAAACATTTGAAGAAATATAAAAGATTGATAGAAAAAAAGAAGAAGGAGAGATTAAACCTTATGTGTACTTCTGAGTCACCCATACTGGATAGAAAGATAGCATATGAAGTGAAAAGAGAAAAGAAAAAGAGAAATGATACAGTTTATAAATGATTTCTATATTTATTATGCATTCAAAATCTAATTATGATCATAAATAATATAACAAATCTTTTCCTCCACACATTCACAAACATCAATTTAACTCGAGCGGAAATAAACCTCTGAACTGTAAAAGCAAGATTTGGCAATGGGCTCAATCATTACAATTTGCTATTACCAATGAGAAAGGTCATTTACACCAAAAATAAATTTCATCGGAAAATGAAAACCATTCCTTATACTTTATTTCAAGAACTTTTTAAGTTTCAAGAAATAAAGTTCTCTCTCCAAGCTGTCTTAATATCTTTATATTAAACCTTACATTTATGTCAGAAATGTTTCATAGACAAGGCTGTCAAGTGATCTGCTCTATGGGAAATCATGTCAAAGTTAAATTTGGGTATACTTCTACTGTTTCTGAGAATGTATGTTCCCGGTCATATTTTTTTTGCTAACTACCATTTTTAACCATAATGAAAGTCATCAGAGAGATGGGTAGGACAACTTCAATTCATGCATTTGGGATATTTTGAATCTCTATCCTGCCAATTACCTGGGAATAACAAGCTAATATCCAACATGGTATCTAACTAAATCTAATATTCATTTATTCATCATATGTAGAGGAAATTTTCCCTAAATTATGTTCAATTTATTTCTGAGCGTTTTATCAAATAACAAAACAATATCACTTGATATTATCAGGGTAAAATGTATAAAAATATCTACCACATCATGTTATGAAAGCTATGGTTAGTTGTATACAGATTGGTTTGTTACATGCCCAGAAAAACACTGTTTTAACACAATGTTTTTAATTCCAAATAAATCCCTTGACATTATAATACTGTACTGGTGTTATATGTAAAATGTCAAAAACAATAATGCAGCTGCAGCAAGAAATTACAAGTAGCATACATGTAATGTATTGTTTAGGCAATATCAAATTCTACGACAAATTGCAGAAATTTGGTCAATCTACATAATTATGCTATTTTGAATGAATGTTTACTGTTACTTGTGTTAGTATTACAACATCAAAATACAATCGCCACATGCTAAATAAGTGTGTGAACATTTAGGAAAATTTCCCCTTAACAGTCAAGTCTATTGGGTAAACTGAAAATACTGTGATTACAGAAACTGAGTGAGATTTTACACCATATATATATACATATTTATAACTTTTCTTTTTAATACATGTACCTTGAATTATGTTGTTGCCCAAACTGTTGCAAAATAAAAGCAAGAAAATTATGATTTAGGTTTTTCGTTTTACTTTCTAACAGTATCAAAAGGTCTGTTTGTTTATACCCCAATCTAATGGCTAGTTGACCACAAAATTTTATGCATTTGCACATAATGTTAACAAATACCGGCCATTTCTATGAAATGTGTTACCGGTACTTAAAAAGTTACTTATCTGTAATATCACACATTCAAAATTCCATTTATTAATTTCATTCACACAAGGAGTTAAAATTCTATCAAAATCTATTATGTATTAATCCATTACCACAAAAATATAATTAACAAAAATCATCGATAATAAAGTATGTTTATAAAATATTATTCTGACTTTTGATACAAACCTTTCTGAAAAACAAATCTCTTGGTTACAAAATAAACATCCATAGCACAAAAAAAGAGTTAGTAAAAGATGGGAAATGTTTCGTTTAACTTTGCTAATCCATTAAAATTTTGGTACATGTACTGTACTTAATGCATGAATTCGAAGTTAAGAATATAATGTCAAATCAGTGTCAAAAGCTTTTATGAAAGTTCTTACTCAGAATTGTTTTGAGAGGTTGTAAAGATGACATTATAACAAGCCTGGAAATAAGGCACTATAGAGACATTTGTCAGGCACAAACAAATACAGGCTTTGCTAGGCACAGTTCCTCTTTTATTTTGTCAATGGTTTCAATGATACCTATAAATACATGTCCAACACAAAGTTCAAAATGTCAGATTAGTTGATTAACTACAATCGTTATTTCCATGCCTTAAAGAAGAGGTTAAAGAAGGGAAACAAATTTAATTAAAAATAAACACATATATTTTATAAACTGAAAATGATAAGAAAAACTCATAAACCAAGGAAAACTAAAATAAAACTTACCAGTAATAATGATAATTATCACTAAAATTACGGCAATAAGAATTGCCCACATCTGAAACATAACAACATCTAGTGCAGAAACTGAACAACATCTATTTATGTGATATAGATTAACTATTATCAAGTGAAACAAATGAAAAAACAAACATACAGAACAACAAAAGAAAATAATATAATATACTGAAATAAGGCCTGTGAAAAAGGTAAATGTATATCTCTAACCTCGAATTGGGATATATATTTCTGGTTTATACTGACAAAACTTTTGCCAAGAGTTGAATAACTATGTCTCCTCAACAGTAGCCTGTCTCGGAACGCAAATAATATACATATACTTTTTTTTTTATGAATCAATGATTGCTTGGTTTACAAGACCAGTAATAAATTAGATAGGAGCTAAATCGCTAATACTATCCATTTTTAAGGTAACCACATCGACCACAAAACGTATTTAAATCTACTTATATCACAGCCATCTGATGGCATCGAAAGTTAATTATGGTCTTGGTAAGTTAATTAATGTCTAATTAATAATTTTTATAACATTTCAGGCCTAAAGAAAGACCTGCAATAGGCAGATTGCATAATGCCTGTTTAACCGTTTTTATGTTATTCAGCAAGCTTATTGTGAAAAAATAAAAAAAAATAAAAATCAATAATTTCTATGATATTCGCAATATTGTAAAAACAAAACTCAATACAGCTAGTTTAAAAAATATGTTCAATTGTGTGAAACACATCTGGTGCATAGTCATCTAAATCTCACATTTGTTTTTTTTATAGTCAATAGGACTAGTATACATAGTATAAATAGTCTTTATGTATGGCTGATCACCCACAGTTTATTTTATCAATATCTTGCAATAATACTGTTTTACTGTTATTTATATAAGCTTACAGAAATTATATTAATACAATCAATTTGTGCTTTAAACTAGGGGCGTGGGGGGTATAGTGATTTAAAGCATGCCCCTGAAATCACAAGGTCTGTCATTGAGTCAAGTGGTGTGGTTTCGATTCCCAACTTGAACATGTCAAAGAGTAGGTCTCCTGTGCAACCTCATGGGTTTCCTCTCTCTCTCATGCTTTATAGATATGTTCCCTGCAGCATAATTAGGTCAATTATGAAGAATATTGTCTGACTAGAAGATTCAAAACCAGTACACCAAAATCGAGTCATAGGCTAATGGAGATGGGTCACAGAATAGTATTTTCAAACAAACTTGTACCCTGATTCAAAAGGTCATATATCAGTCAATATTAATGTCATATAACTTTGCAGTTTTACCAAAGTTTGTATATTTTTTTTTTAATAATCTCAGGGGGTCACCTGACAACTTTTTTAGAATTTGCTCCATTTGACATTGAATGACCACCCTGCTCTAGACTTGTTTTTCTTTTTTTTAAATTGGATAACTTTTGCTTATTTTAAATATTCTACAACGTGGACAAAGACTTAAAATAATTATTGGAAATTTTCTTAACATTTTAATAACATCTGATGATAAATGCAGTCCGAAGGGTAGTCAGAAGGGTCTTCGAAAGAAATTTTGAATGACAGCTACAGCAAAATACAACCACATTACAATGTGGGAGCATATAAAAGAATGGAACAACATAATATTACAACTGAACATAATAAAACTACACACTCTATAATACAACATATTAACATTGATGGTGCGTACACTGAGGTCTTAAACTTACCAATAATAATGATTATAATAACAGCAATAATAGATCCAAGTATTATCATCATCTGGAAGGTTAGTGCCATTTCATAATTCCAGTTCATTATTAATTTTTATGCCAAACATGTATTTAAAATCTATTTTAGTGATTTTACCTGAAGTTTTTGTGAAACAGGGCCAAGACCTAAACTACAGGTGTCTCCCCTGTTTTATCATACTTGCTCAAACTAGTACATTTCACAACTGTACTTTTATCTCAATAGTCACAATCACATATTGCTCAATTACTTATAACTTGTTGGTTTTTTTTATTTACTACTGGCTATTTTTAAGGACAAGTTTACATGAAAAGTTAGTACTGTTATTCACAGAAAGATCTAAACAATGTTAGTTGTTAACATAGTGTAATGATCAAATCTATTCATTATGACCTCATTGGCAAAATGTTTAATGAAATGGTCTCAATCCTACCTTACAATTCTTCCACCAATACTTTCGTTTAAGTTTACCAGCAGAAGCTTCAAATTGTGAAGCACCGGCTTGTAGGGCATCTAAAAAAACAGAAAAATATTGTTCCTAGTAGTTATTGGAAACAAAATACCAATGTAAGTTCCAAATATGAGGAATCACAAGAGGTTAAAACAGACAACCCTTGTCATTTAAAAGTGTTGGCTCAAAATCCTGACATGATCTAGAGTGCATGCATTAAACCGCACAACTCATACACAAGGGGTCAACCTAATCCTCTCATCATGTAAAGGCATGGGATCGAACTCTGAGTATTTTGACCTACAGCGCATGTACAGAATGTATTAGGCAAACATCAAAATCCATCATTAGTTTCCTTGTTAACATGGACATAGTCCAATAAATACCCTTATAAACATTGAATGAAATTTATACCAAAAGACACTTTCAAGGTAACAATTTCCAGAGTTAACAGTAGAATTCCATGGCAGCGGGAGAAATATTGGCAATATTATTTATACATGAATTACCTGCTCTGTCATCCAATTCTGAGATTTTCTGATCTCTTTCAAGCACCTTGTCAACATTTACTCTCATTATATCTACCACCTGAAATATTTTCATATTTATGAACTGTACTGAATGATAACTTTTCTATACATTCTATTTAAATACAAACAGCCCATAATAAATCTCTGGGCACTTCAGTTTGGAATATATGGTATCCATTTGGAGAAATCAGTATAATTGTACCAAACCAATGGTCAACACATCATGGTCATTGTTCAGAAAAAGGTTAACTTACTCGGAGTGACATGATATAAATCAGATTAAATATGACTATGAAAATAGTTTTCTGAAAGTTCACAAAATCCATTTTTTTTTTTTTTAACAAATCACATAATTTATATTACCTCGTCAACCTGTGCCTGTGTTTGCTGCATGCGTTTACTCTGCATGTCTCTAGGTGGTTGTCCTTCTGGTGCTCCTGACCTACGATAGAAAATACATTCATCATTATAAATTATGACATTGATATTACGTGCGTACTTGATATTACCTAAAATTCTATATTCTACATGTAGTTCAGATTTCTTTCACATAGGTGCATGTTATCAAATTGGAAATTATTTATTATACAGTTTATTTCACATACGGTATGTGCATTTCTATTATTAACCACAACTCTTTAAAATTTAGATTGCAGATATGCTTAATTTATAAAAATGAGATATGTCACGTTCCTCATCAAATAACAAATTAACATTACAATGTTAGTGTGTAGGCCCACATATATAATTTGTGTATATTGTACATATAAATCAAGAACACATGCAAACTTTTAAACTAAAAACTGAGAAAAAAGACTATTCTGAAAAACACACATTTATGATTGATTGATAAGTAAGAATTCATTCCTGGCATCAGATTTGAAACTACCAGTACTGATCTACATCCCACACCACTGTGCCCCCAGAAAATGTCCAGATTGGATTAGCAATGAGACGAGGTGTTTAGCAAAAGATTATATGCATGCAGTTCTTTTGACTAATAGATGTACCGTACATGTGGATATTAGCTCCATCGAATTAAGTTAAATGGGAGCAACCTCATTTTCTTGGTTCAAAAATAAAGATGTCCTGTATCAAATTTTACCTCATCTATCAGATTCTAATAATCAGATTTAACAGTAGACTAGTAGCTTGTATAAAACATATGAACACATTAGAATTATCATGCTTTCCTTTCTACTTCCTTCAGAGTGAGGATAAAAAAATAAGTGAAATAAAATGGCGTTTAATGTCCTACTTTTCTGCTCCGACCGGGCATATTATGCCATGCAATGAGCCGTGGGAAATTTTGCCCGCACAGGTACATGTATGACCTACTTTTATTTTGAATTCTAACTATAGTATCAAGAGTTCTTTTACGTGGGACGTCAGTTGTTCGTCCCATTGTCCTATACGAGGAACTTTCGTGGCCAACAACGGGATCGAACACGGGACTTCCAGGTTAGCGAGTTAACATTTTACTCCCTGAGCAACTGCTGCTACTAATCAAATAAGGGATTTCAAAGACAGACAAACCCCTTTTGGTTCACTGCATAATTTCTTTAGCATAGAAAATTAATCTTATTCGGTACTGGTACTACGTAACTACTGTTTACCAGGTAGGCTCAGTGGGCTCGCTTAAAAATCTTGACTTCCATTAATTACGGTACTAACGCTTGCCATACTGGTAATAATATTAATATTACCATTGAATAAAAGTAAGTATATCATGAATTGATTATGAACTAGGTGTGTACAAGATGGTAGAAAAGTTCTCATTAATAAAGTATAATGACCATAATTTATATAATTATGTGTGCACAGGACTGTTCCATATTTTTCCTCATGAGACTATGTACAAAAGACTAAAGACAAGTAATGAAGCCAAATATTCATTTATGCAATAATTATGCAACTTCATCTAAATACTGAGAGATAATTTTAATTTAAAGTCTCATTGTGTTCATTTACCATGATAGGAATCCCTTGTGAAAGATGAATCACTCATTATAGAAATATCAGTCCAAAAATGTTCAATTTACAAAGATACATGTATGTTGGTTTTGAAATTGAATCAATCTATATACAGCTTGCCATGTAAAACTAGAAGTATGTAATAAACCTGCCACCATTCTGTTGTGATCGAATAGAAATGATAGACCTATTTTAAAATTTAAATCTTATTTAATCCAAGTCTGGAGGTTATCTAGTGTTGGTATTTTGATACATATTAGTGTGGATTAAACATACATTATGCAGGAGCTAAATCTGACTATTGCAGGTCTTTCTTTAGGTCTAAAATGTTATCTAAATTATTAATTAGGCATTAATTAACCTATCCAGACCATAATCAACTCTAGATGGCATCGCTAGCCTGCGATCTTTAGTGGATTATGGGCTGGTTTACTGCATAACTTTCCTTCACGATTTAACGATTAAATGGATAATCGAGACTATGCTGTTTATCCGACTGACTTTAGTAATGATGATCGAGGCTAGGCGGAAATTTCAATCGCTTAATTCTCAGTTCATAGTGGATCAATTTGATTGAAATTTTCAGCAAATTGCCTTTACATTATCTAGTTTTTAACTATTATAGTGAGAACTGCCAACTCGTTATCGAATCTCCCATAATGTATCTTTAAGCCCTGAGAAATTTAATCTTTAAATGAAAAATGTAAATGATGCATCGTTACTGTAAGACAGTCAATGATAAAAGTTACACTGTTACAGTTAGGTATATGACTTTGATGTTAAGTACATATTGATAATAAAATAACTGAACTGAATACAAAGTATTTCGTACAAATTATATTTTGAAGAATAAATCATTAAAGATGCATTATGTAAGATTTAAATAAAGAACTGGTTGTAATAGTTTAAAAAAAGATAATGAAAAATATATATATTGAAACTTTCAGTCAATTATTTTATTCTGAGCAAAGTTATGAATGTTTGAAGTTTTGAACGAAAAAAAGTCTACATATTCTTTTCATATTCTCAATTGTCAAGTACATGTTGACACAATATTACAAAGTCTTTATTTTCAGGCCTTCAATCAGCAGTCTCCATGAGTGGTAGCCATATTCTCGTTTACTGAATGTAAGGGTGGCATTGACTAATCAACTTCTTGAAGATCTGGAGAGTTGATTATGGGTGTGTCATGTGAATAAATGTCTAAAAATAATTTATATAACATCTGAAGTCAGAAAAAAGACCTGCATGCCATATTGTGCATTAAATTCTCAAACAGAACTACTTTGTGCTAAGTCATACAATCTTAACTATTTAAACTAAAATAAAAAAATAAGAATGACAGATAATATATGTAAAAATACATAATGATAATATTGATATAAAAAAGTGATATTTAATATCTAATAAATACATAATAATGAAAATATTGATATTAAAAAAATTTGAAAAAAAGACATTCATAATTGATATCATAACTGAAACTTAAGTATGAAAAGACATTTATGACACAGAAATAATTGAATACACATCAAAAAACATGTTACAAAATCGATCATCTGCTGGTTACTTACGGAGGTCCACCTGGACCTGCCTGTGGGTTTTGTGGACCTGGACCAGACCTAATAGACAATTAAATTTAGGTCAAATAGTTATGTTTAGAGAACAGCACCTGTCAACACCCTCGTATGAGGACTTGTAAGGGTATAAATATAAATAAGTTTTATTCATAACCGTATACCACAGACAAATGCAAATTAATCAGTATGTGTATCAACACTTCAAAAAGTCAATGCACATTAAGAAACATTCAATGTAAAATAAATGACCAAGATAAAAGTCTCATTTTAAGAATTTTATTTCATATGTACATGTAACATGATGGATGGAGGTGTACCACCAACCCCAATCATCACCAACAGCAGAGTTGTCTAAGACATCTTAAACAGCGGGAGAGAAATGGGATTTAACATCCACTCAACACAAACTAGGTCATTCGTGAATAACATATGGTTCACATTTATTTCCATAATTTGCTTGCATCTTTAGAGGTGGGAGGAAACCAGGCCAGGTTGAACAGATGACCCTACTCCTTGCCACATACATGTATAACTAGTATAAGCGGGGAAACGACACCATGCCACCTGACTCAATGACACATGATTTAAAGCGCACACAACACATTAAACCATTTGGCCATCCATCAGTAAGACATTTTAAAATGGATGTAGCACATTTCACAATCCATGTCTTTATGAACAGTAATAATAATTCTAAAATTCTATTGAAAATACGTATGTACCATCTGCTTCTCTGAGTTAAAGAAAGTAGAGGCCTACATGGCTACATGATTTGCCATAGTTATTAAAAAAAATATTGAAATTTGCATTCACAACTTTTATTCTTCTAGTCTTAATGTACATACTGTGTTTTCTAAATGCTGTCACAAATTCAGAAGCTGTTTCTGTCATGACTCATTTGGACAATCCCTCCCCAGCAAGCAAATGGTTCATACAGAATAAGAATGGACTGACCAATGCCAATGACAACAATATACATCCATATTTAAATAAGAAGAGATAATAATAATCAAAGATACCATTTCCACTTTAGAATAATAGGATTTACCTTATTTGAACATCTGGGATTAATTTGTCCCTAAAATACATCATATGTATTTCAAAAATCAAAAATGGTGGTGTGACTACTAACGACTGGGTTTGAATTTTCATAAATTTTTTTTAATTTAATCATTGAATAATACAATACATGGTTGTTGAGCAGTGGGTAAATGTGCATTTTTGATAACATAGTGCACCGTAAGCTTATATGAACAGGTTCTAATACTGATAGATTATTTCGCAAAAAAATAATATGCATGTCGCACATGTATGGATGTTAATAGAGCAAGTCAATCCTATCTTTTTTTAATATCAAATTTCAGTTGACACATTTGAAGGCTTATTCATATGAATTTCATTTCTTATGTTATAAGTTGTAAAATATTTTTATGTTCATCATGAAACCTAAATGTTGTAATAGAAGGAAGTAAATGGTAATAGTAGGCTATTGCAATGGGCTAACTTGCCCATTTATTAAGGGATGGGATTACATTTTCATTAATCATCACCACCAGAATTAGAAAGGGGATTTTGAGTGCTCTTAAACTGCAAAGAAGACTATCGCAGGTCTGCATAACACATTAATCATTATACATGTCAGCACAAAATAGCTATTTACTTATCCACTTCCCATCAAACATACTCAAAAGATTTTAATACATCGATTCATTTCATGTATAAAGCTTATCCATAGAAAAATGATCTCTTCTTAGGAAAACGTACACAAAAAATGTAAATTCCATGAAATAGTTAAACTTTACGCAAATTAGGCTTATTATAAAAGTAATTAAAAGAGAATTCATCAATTTGAATAGGGAGGAAAAATTATATGACTTGTAATTTAAGAACACAATTAGATTATATTGTAACAGTAGGCAAGCCTACTGATCTAGAGTAAGTAGTAGTATAATTATTAGCATCACTGTGTGACTTTGCAATCAGTATCAGTAAAAATTTAAAGAATAGGCCCTATGCCTCATTAGGCCTACAGTATCTAGAATTTTCTTGTTTTTCAATATCTTTAGAACATTTCGGATTATCTTTCATTATACCAACATCATCACTGCCATAACAGAATTGATCAAAGTATTTTTATTGCATGGATCACATTGATTGATAGATTCTTTTCATCAAATGCATCCAAGGGGTAGATAACTCTTTCCATAAATTATAAACAAATGTTTATTGAGATAATTAGTGTACCGATTTTAGTTATTCTTCAAACTATTTCATGAGTTATTCGTATTAAACACGATGCATGTTATATCATTACTTCCAATATAATCCGAAATCTTGCAATCCTATAACGCATCGTCTTTTTTATTGAAAGTGTATGTAAAATCCTGGTAAATTCCTGTAAATTTCTGATTTTCACTGAGAAATCTGTTTACCAATAAGTCCTTTTACCAGATACTTTCCTGAAGAAGAGCCCCAAATATCCTATTTTAATATTCTCTATGTCTATTTCTACTTACATTTTGTTATTACACCTGAAATTCCTGTTCTATTTACAAAATATCAGATGCCAGTGAGTCAGAATTTTTCTGCCGACTGCTTACAACAAAATGGTGGATAAATCAAGTCTGATGTCATCATCCGGGCACCTGCCTAATAAACATACCGAAGGCTCAAAATGACATTGCGTAAAACGAAAGTAGAGAATGATATTGATTGGCAAATGTTCGACCTCATTATCAGTAATTTCGTGGATTTAATGAATTATAAATCAGTGGGTGCTGTAAACATATTAATTGCTAAACAAAATGATGTCATTAGGTTCATTATGGCTCTATTGACAACATATGTCTCTTTCATCGTTCAAACGCTTGGTACGCATGTTTTTGCATGAGGAACAAGATCCCGTTCGGGTCCCCAAAAACACAATATGTGTGTGCGAGGGGGAGGGGGGCGTAGCCTCCCTGTGCTGTTCGGAACATGCTAGAGTTGATTTGTAGCATATCTGACCAACGTGTACGTTTGACACTGGTTGAGCATTATGATTATAGCCTAATCTTGAAAACCGCATTGAAACTCCAAACCATGACACAAAAGCTCGTCATTGCGTCATTCTCAATTAGTGATCCTTGCCTGGTCTCTTTTTGCGAAAATATAAACAGGGTTACAGCGAGGCAATTAAATCGCCTGATGATAGGCTACAGCTAATCCCACCACCAGGCCCGTAACTAGTGGGGGCGCAGGGGGCCACCCCCTGCAAAAAGTTTCGCCCCCCCCCCCCCTGCTGTGAAAAAATTGTCCGTCAATTTGACAGCACCCCTGAGAACATTTCCCGCCCCACCCCCTCACCCCCCTCAACCCCACCCGGGCACTATACATGTACATGTCGATGCGTTATCAAACAACACATTTGGCTAATTGTACTAGTATATTTTAGTTATTTTAATGTCCTAGGAGACTAAATGAAATGGGGTTTAACCGTCCTACCGTTTTTACATCGACTGGGTTATAAATGAAGACGACAAAGAAGATGATTTTAGAAAAAAAATAATTCTGGGCTTTTTTATTTATAGTTTTACAGTTACTTCCATCTTATTTATGAAGGGGAATCGTGGGTTTTAGGGCAATTTTCATATTGAGGTGGACCAGGCGCGACTATGTCAAACCATCTTATCGAGCGTAGCGCCACTTTTTAGAACTATACATGTATATGTTTTTTGTTTTTTTTTAAAGAAATATGTTGGTTTTAATTTTTTTTTTTTTAGACAGTTGTCTATTATATACAATCCAGTAAATGTTTGCACTACAAAACATAAACGAATTTGGGATTATTTGTATTATAAGGTCCATATATGTTAAAACGAAGGAAATTGATTTAATAGAGTTTTTTTCCTATTGCAGCTGACGATTGTTTTATTGAACAGATGAATTGAAGACGGGGAGCTTCTTCCTATATATGCTGGGCTGGAATAACCATTAAGCAAAATAAGCACGTGCTTAGGGCATCATGGAGATAGGGGCACCGCAGAATTTTGTTAGATGCAAAATTTAAATTATTTAATTTCAAAATCGCGCATTTATGTAGAGTACTTGAAAACAAAGCTTAACCGCTGGATAACTTTCCGGTCAAAGTCTTCTTTTATTGCAATGAAAAAGTTCTATATTCAGTAAAACATAATATTGGGTTGGTGTATATGGAGCTTTGTTTTAGAATGAGAAAGGTGTCCGATTCAAAAAGAATCAATGAGTTATGAAACACCAGCAGTGGTTTTAGACATTTTCGAAGTCTTTCAATAACAATTAATAATGTGTTATTACATATGCATAGAGACTCCCATTTCAAAAAAAAAAAAAACATTTAAAAGATTTTCTTCGATCAACAGATATCACGTAATTACCTAAAGGGTTAGAAATTATTTTTCTTACCATTAGTTTAATTGCGTTGGCATGTCACAGTTACCCCCCCCCCCCAAAAAAAAAGCACCTTTGCATTACCTGTGCATGTACATGTTAAGACGTCTCTCAGTGTTCAGTTTTCTCTGTTCAAATATGAATAATGGAATATATGTCTACATGTGCGTTCTTTTTTGTCTGTGTTTTATTGTGCATCCCTATTTGATAATGTAACTGATCTGGACGCCCCGTGTCCCAAACATATCAGTCGTATCTCAACGTTTTCGTGACGTACAGAGGCCGGTTGCTCAAAACTATGTTATTTTAATGATCCGTTAAACGTGTCGTTTGTTAACGCGGTCCGTTAAATTTCTGGGCCCTGTTTATGGGGCACCCCCATAAAAATTTTTTATGTGTGACGCCTATGCCGTTAGCTAATTACCGGACTGATTAAAGTTAATCCAAGAGAAGACTGTTCATTGGCTGAACTTTAAATTTTTAAATTCAATGTAGGCCTACATGTATAACAACTTCATAGAAGTTAGTATTAACAAGAAACTGAAGACAGTGTGACAACTGTGCCGTTTTTCCACAAAACTTGATTAAAGACAAAAGGATAAATGTAGAATTTACTACAGAAAACACTATAAAAAAAGCTATAGGATACTTTATATTTTCCTTTAGAAATTTTAGCATAAATCGAGGGGGGGGGGGGGGTATGGGATTTGCACTAGAATATTTGGGGAATATTATTTCCTACAGGGCCCCAAAATTCTGATGAATACTATAGAATTTCATCCTATAGAAAATGGAATAGCCCCCCAACCCTCTAGAATGTTCTATAGAAAATTACACTGGTAATGTTTGACTTTTTGCTAAGGGTATACTTCGACTGACAACAGACTAATGCCATTGTTAAACAGATAACGGAGTCCAACATAAAGGCAGGTTAACGACATATTAAAGTTAACGGGGCTTCCAGTAGCAGACTTTCTCTCCGTTAAAGATAACAATCCATTAACTCCATGTTAACGAGTCGTTAAAAGTTAACGGGGCATTGAGCAACCGGCCCCTGGTAGCTACCCTTATTCAGTGTCTGTTAAATTTCAAGAATTCGTCAATACAGGTCTTAGTCCAGTGGCTGAAGGGGGGGGGGGGGGATCGCCACCCGAGCTGTGAATTTATGAGACCACAGTTTTTCTAGACCAGTTTTTTGCGTAGATTCCGAATCTGGGTGGTGATCAGGCGTTTGAGGGGGCGTTTTCGAGATAGGGGGGGGGGGGGTCCAATGTCTACGATTGGGGGAAAATGTGATTATGTTGACATATTAATGATGATCATGTTATATAATTATTATTAAAACATAAATTTCCAGGACTGCCCATCTCTAAATAAGTGTTTATAATACCCCTGGACAACTGTTTTAATTTGTGGCGAGGTGGGGTGGCTGGTTGCAGGTGTATGGGGGGGGGGGGGTAAAATTGGCGGGAAATGAGTTCACGTCGATATAAATGATGATTTTCTTAGAGCTTGATGAAACATCTCTAAATATGTTTATAATATTCCCATTGTGTTGCGATGGACGCCTGAGTGGGCGCCCGCGGGGGTGGGCGGCTTGTGGAGGGGGGGGGGGGTAACATGTGTTTTTGTGGACAGAAATCATTTGGTTCAAAATTGACCTTAAAAGTGGTTTCTCGTTAGCTTTTGCATTCATTACCTATTTCGTCATTCAATATATTAAATTATAATGGTACTTTTCAAGAGATCTGAAAATGTACTTAAAAAACACAGTAAATCAGAGACATGTTTAGATATTAGTTTATTCTTAGTCTTCATCAGAAGATTCAAAATCAAAGTTCATAATATGAGTTGGATAAATATCTTCTTGGTTGCTGACCAGCAGTTCGCATATATCCTTTGGATATGCTTCAGATAACAATTCACATTCCAAATCTTCATTCCAGCCATGCAGCAAAAGACCACTACGGCAAGGTAGTAATAAAGAAATGTCTGTTATTTTTTCACCCAGAAAATCTGTCTTCTTCTGCGATCTTTTCTTCCTTTGCCCATCTCATTATCGATCAAAATGTGTAAATTTGTATCATTGTGAGGAGAATGATTGAGATGTCTATTTCGCCCGAGTAATTTGTTTTAGCGCTTCCATTAATTTGCAATGCGATGAGGAGTAGGTAAGCTATATTGGTGTCCTCGTGGTTTGTTGTCAGTTCTAGGATATTCTCGATACTTCAATACTAATCTTGATATATTTTTTGATCCAATCAAGATTAGTATTGAAAGTGTCGAGAATATCTCGGCCTACATGCTTTCAGTGGTAATGACTAACTGTCTTTCTTTTTCCAACTTTCTAACAATTTTTAAAGAGCTGGGACAGACAAATGATGTTTCTGATGACGTAATAACTGGTTTAGAAAAAATTGTTTATACTATGTACGGTGAAAGGCGACTTACATCAGTAGATGACACTAGAAAAAAGATTTTCTGGGGAATTTAAATTGTGATGAAAAAAACAAAAAAAAAAACTTTCTTTCTTTATTACCATCTTTCCTGAGTAGTCTTTTGCTGCACATTAAACGCAACAATTATGTTGCAACAATATGGAGACAGGCTGCAAAACCAATGATTGAACATGATGATCCTGCGATACAAGGCTGGAATGAAGATTTGCAATGTGAATGGGTATCTGAAGCATACCCAAATGATATATGTGAGCTGTTGATTAGCCATCAAGAAGATATCTATCCCGCTCATATTATGAATTTTGATTTTGAATCTTTTGATGAAGACTAAGAATAAACTAATATCTAAACATGTCTCTAATTTACTGTGTATTTTATGTACATTTCCAGATCTCTTGAAAAGTACCATTATAATTTAATATTATTATTCGGAATGACGAAATTGGTACTGAACGAAAAAGCAATCTAATACAGATGTATATTTCGTTTCGTGTTTTTATACTTTCGATGGCCTACACAACATGGTTATACGAGCGGCTTTTGACACTATGACGTCAGACATTGATTACTCAAATCAGCGTTGACGTTTCTCAGGGTTTACCCCACAGTTCCGTGCAGAGCACGCCAAGAACTCGTCGTAACAGACCGTTTTATTGGCTAATTCCCTTACATCAACTAGACCGCCTGTTATATAACAACTCTTCCAGATCCTATAGTGTTGTGAAGACAAGGAAAACGAAATTTTGAACTATAAAAAACGAAACGAAATAGCATCTGTGTGTTTTAATCAGATTGAACGAAAAAGCTAACGAGAGAACATTTTTCAGGTCAATTTTGAACCAAATGGTTTCTCTCCCCCAAATTACAATTACCCCCCCCCCCCCCCGCCCCATACAATGGGAATCTTACACACATATTTAGAGATGTGCAGCTGAATTAAAAAGTAATGTTTTTACCAAGCTCTAAGAAAAATCATCATTTAAATCAACGTGAACTCATTTCACGCTAATTTTACCCCCCCCCCCCTCCCGATACACGCACACCTGCTACCCCCAACCCACCTCCCCACAAATCAAAGCAGTTTTCCAGGGGGTGGGGGCATAATATACACTTCTTTAGAGATGGACAGTCCTAGAAATTTATGTTTTAGTAATATATAACATGATCATCATTTATATCAACATAATGACATTTCCCCCAATTGTAGACATCGGACCCCCCATATCTCGAAAACACCCCCTCAAACGCCTGATCACCACCCAGATTCGGAATCTACGCAAAAACTGGTCTAGAAAAACTTGGTCTCATAAATTCACAGCTTGGGTGGCGACCCCCCCCCCCCTTCAGCTACCGGACTGTCTGTAAAGTACGCGTCTGCCGATGGGACATTTTTGTGGTCGGAAATTTAGTTCAAATACTTTGTAAAAAAACATTTTCATTAATCCTTACTATAATTTTTCTTTTTGTGAAGAAGTTTGGGCCTGTTTTATCCATTCTAAATAACTGACTGTTTCTGTTCTCTTAGCAGCATGCTTAAGACCTAACCATAAAAAATATCACGCAAAGATTAGGATAATTATTATTTTTCAGACTAAAGGATTGACTAATTGATATTTATATCAGTGGTAGAGATAATTCAACAGGATCGTCTTAGGATTCGACCTGTAATAACACCGGCATTGATTAATTGAAACCTCCATAGGTAACTCTGAAAGTAATTATCGGAAATCATTGTTAATCAATAGGATTCTTCGTCTCGTGACCTTAAACACCGTATCAATTTCAGGTCAGTCGGATATTAACGGACGGACTAGGGCGACGACATGCCAATGTGGGCGTATAAAAAGCTCATTTCAGTATGGTTTTACTGCAGTTTTATTCCCGACAACAATTTTGATGTCTCATTCTAGAATAATTCTGTTCATATTGCATTTCCACAAAATCATTTTGCGCCACACAGATGTAAGACTGATAGTGGCCATATTAAATTTTAAGATGGCGGTGGTAAAAAAAGTGATGTGAATCTACAATAAGCTCATGTCAGTATGATTTTGCACTACCGTACTTAATAATTCATACAATTTTAATCCCCACAATTAGAAGCTAGTTTTGACATCCCATTTTAGAACAATGCTGGTCAAACTGCATTTCCACCATATCTTTATCATTTGGCACCACATAATAGTAAGAAAATATGGTGGCCACCGACACACCGAAAGGCAGCCATTATATTCTAATGGAAGTTTTGGAGATTTGACTTAAAACAACCGGTTAAAATTCTAGAATAATGCTGGACATCCTGTATTTCCACCATATCTTTTATCATTTTGCGCCAGATATATAATAGTAAGACGATATGGTGGCCATATGGTTGGAAAGAACAAAACAAAATGTTTCATTTACAATCAACAATGATAGTCATTGCCGTTCTCTGAAAAACAGCGTAAGAGAGAGAGAGAGAGGGAGAGAGAGAGAGAGAGAGAGAGAGAGAGAGAGAGAGACGGGGTTCAACATCCACTGGACCAAAACTAGGTCATTTCAGGACTACCATATGGTTCAATTTTATTTTAATAATTTACTTGCACATAGGGATCTTTAGCAGTGTAAAGACCCCTACGTGCAAGCGAATTATTGAAATAAAATTGAACCATGTTAGTCCCGAAATGACCTAGTTTGTATCCTGTGGCCGTTAACCCCATTTCCCTCTCTCTCTTTAGCAGTGGGAGGAAGCTGGAGGACCCAGAGAAAACACACAAGAGTGGACAGGCGACCCTACTCTTTGTCACTACAAGCAGAGAATCTAAACTACACCACTTGACCTTATGATCTAAAATGCATGCATTAAACCATTTGGTCACCCAACCCCGATAACATGGCACAATCAAAGGAGCACTTTGTCCCAGATATATTATGGAGAGATGATGCACCAATATGACATTTGCTCCAATAAATTTGGATAGGTTTTATTGAGTTTTTTATATATATTTATTTAACAACAAAATATAGTTACAATATAACAAACAATTAAATTCAACACCAATTCCTACAACGAGGCACTGTAAAATTTACAACCATATATTGTTTAATTAGGTTAAGCTCATTGATTGTTGTACACATTAAAACAAAAAACTCTTAGCTTAGGCTTACATTTTACATAAAATCTAAAACTTAACAATGCCAACATAGAATCTGTAATTTAAAAGTGTGAAATAAAAATCTAAATTTATAATAATAATATAATAATAATTGATTTATATAGCGCCAACAATTCAACTCAGCGAGCAGCCCTCTGGCGCTTTACATAAGTACAGCTAATATAATTTTCAACAATTACAACACATTAATCCATAAAAAAAACCCAAAAAACCCCCGAGAACATTATTTAGTACACATGGTAAAAGAATGACAAACACAACTAGAACCGTATTCAATCAGTTGTATATTTGAGCAAAATGTTCGGTTTTAAGATATTTTTTAAAACCTAAAATAGAATTTGGGTTTTTGGTTTCGTTTGATATTGAATTCCATAACTTCGGAGCACCTACGGCGAAAGATCTATCACCGGAGTTTGTTTTTGAAAAAGGCTTAATTAAGAGATTGTCTAATTGTGATCGAAGGGTTATGCAAGGTTTATTGGTGTTAAGAAGGTCTCTAAGGTATTGAGGCGAAGAATCATCATTTAGAGCAGAATACGTAATAGACAGTATTTTAAAATTGATACGTTGACGGACTGGAAGCCAATGGAGATCTTTCAAAATTGGTGTCATATGTTCATTTGGTTTCGTCTTGGAGTTTCTGAAGTCGTTTGGTTTTATTTTCAGGTAGATTGTACAAAAGTGAATTACAGTAGTCGAGTCGTGATGTAACCATAGTGTTTACTAGCACTTTAATTCGCGTCACTATCAATGAAAGATCTAATTTTTCCAATATTAAATCTGAAAATTAATACTTTTACACATGGCCGAAATTTGTCGATTCATGTCCAGATGAGAGTCAAAATAAACACCAAGATATTTTACAGAATCTGTTGGTGTAATAGAGATATTGCCAATTTGATAGTTTTCTGTTTTAGATTTTAGTAGTTGCTGCCTGATGTCGACTTTCATTATTTCTGTTTTGTCATCGTTGAGTCCATCCATTTACGAATATCGGATAAACAGGCCTCAAGTTCGCATATCTCAGATGGTTCAGAAGAAGGCTCAAAAGCTATATTGAGTGTCGTCGGCGTACACATGGTAGTTAAGACCGTGTTTACGAATGACATTTCCTAAAGATGTTGTGTATTTGGTAAACAATAAAGGACCGAGAACGGAACCCTGTGGCACGCCATATTTTAAAACAGTTGATTTGGATGTGGAACCTTTGATAACAATGGTCTATGTACGGTTTTCACGGTATGACTGGAACCATGTAAGGGCTAGTCCACTAACACCAAAGTTGTTTAGCAATCTTTTTAAAAAAATGTGGTGGTCTATCGTGTCAAACGCAGCGCTTAGATCAAGCAGGACTAATGCCGATGCTTGTTTCTTATCCATTTCGTTTAGTAAGTCATTTTGAACAAGTAATAAGGCGGTTTCAGTGCTGTGTTGTTTTCTATATGCGGATTGGAATACTTCGTTGAGGTTATTATTATACAGCCAGAAGCCAAAGAGGAATTTACAATATCTGTGATAACTGGGACCATCACTTCAAGACACTGTTTTAGTAGCCAAGTGGGAATGGGATCAAGAGTACACGATGCTTTGATGATTTACTGGGAGAGTCTGTTCTGGCCCGTCTTTATTTAGAATTCTATTGATAACCTTGTGAATTTCACGGGTATTACCACGATTCTCAAGAATACTGTTCATAACATGGCGACGTTTTGCATTTCTTATTGTAGTGTTAGTCTCATTTTTACATTTTATATATATTTGCCTGTGTATTTCTAGATTTGATTTTCGCCACTATTTTTCCGCTTTCCTTTTCTTCTGTTTACATTTTTGAATTTCATCATTAAACCAATTTCTATTTGATCTGATAGTTATACTTTTAGTTTGAACCGGTTCATGTTTATCTAATAATTTAATAAGAATTTTATTATATTGTTCAATCTTATGATGAATATTATCATGTTCTTTGATCTGTTCATAAAACTGCTCATAAGTTATGTCGGCTTTGAATTGCTCTACATCAATGTTTCTAGTTTTTCGGAAAGATATAGTGCGTTTTATTGGTCCAGGTTTATAAAGCGCCAGTTTAGCGAAAACACTGTAATGATCGGATATCAAGTCATTTTTAACATGAATGGAATTTAGTAAATTATCATTGATTCTCGTAATAATAATGTCTAGGGTATAACCAGCGCGATGTGTAGGCTCATTTATATGCTGAGTAGGATTAAATGCGTTGGGAAGTTCAGTGAATTTCTTTGTATGTCTGTCAAGTGGGATATCTAGGTGAATACTGAAATCCTCAACTATAACTAAACGCCCCGACGCGGAAGACAAAACATGGAGTAGATCAGAAAATGCTTCGAGAAATTTCCCGATGTTAGATATGTTATTTTTTAATGCTGGGGGCCGATAAACTACCACAAGATGGATAATTTCACTTTTGCACTGAAATCTCAGCTGCTGGATCTAGAAGCTGTTATATTTGGATGGATTGAGTATAGATGACGTCATAGACTTTTTGTGGACAAAGGCGATACCACCCCCATTCCTACATTCTCTGTTTGCAAGTGAAAAATCGTAATTTACAGGGATGAGTTGGTTTATTGCAAAGTTATCTGTTGACTTTAACCTCGTTTCAGTTAAAACAAAAATGTCAAGATCATTGGGGTGGATTAAAGGTTGTTAGTGAGCACAGTTGATAACTTGAGGAGATCATTTTTAAGAAATATCCTTCATTTACAATGCTGAAGAATGCTCCATGATTATGCTTAATATAAACATGTATCTAACACAGAGCAAGAGGTATTTTTGTTAGTTAAACTTCAAATCATTTTAGAATTAATTGGATGAATTGTTTTCTGCCAAAATGTCCAATATTACTGAACACCTTTCTGGTCATTTGTGTCAGGTAAATTGGTATTGTAACTAAATTTACAGCCAAATATGGTTTTATTGGTCTTGGGAACACTTACCTAGGAATACAGGAATACTAAAGCACTGGTGGCACTGACCACTTTTTTTTTTAAAAAAAGATGAGCCACAACATTTAATAAAAATATCTATAGTCAAATATACTTGTAGGAACAATGAGCTAGATATATCCAAACAATTTAGTAATATCTTATGTCCTATGGTACAATTTGATTAGAATAAAGATTAACAATTTCTTTCTATATAATAATTCAAATATTTACTTTACTTGTGAAAATTGATAACAAGATCTGTCAAGCAGATATAAAAAACTTTCAAATTATTTAATGTCAAAATGATAACAAGATCTGCCAAGCAGATACAAAATACTTTCATATTATTCAACTCACTTCCAATTAATGAAAAGTGTTGAAAGATATGAAAGTTAATAATGAATCCAATTTCAAAATATGAATAAAATCAGAAAAGTAGTTTTATAGATCTGTTTATAAAAAATTAGTTAATTCTATATGTAAGAAGTATTTTGGTCATGACTGCTATATTTTTTGACAGATTATTCAAACATTTATATAACTGATTTGTATTTCGATACTGTACCTTTCATACATTTTTCAGTAACAAAAAAGCAAGTATTCAAAAATAAAAATGAATATGGCAGTGAAGTTTTTGAAGATAGTCTATGAATCAAATATTTTGAACTTTAATTTATCAAGGGTATATTATTCAGAAAATTTCTGAAGTTTATCTAATTTCAAGTTCAAATTTTATCAAGGTATTCAAGTCAAAGAATAAATAATTACTTAAGGACTCGAAAAGCTCACCTAGTATCAACTATTTTTTCTTATTTTTTTCAGATTTAGAAAATTTTTAGCCTAAGATTAAAAAATATAATGTTACAATTTTAAGAAATACTCGTAATAACATATATTTCCTGGACACTATGTTATCAACAGTTGAACACAAAATTGATTATAAGTGAACAATGGCTTAAACTAAGGATGTGATTAATGTGAAGTTTTTGATGCAAATTTACACACAAAATGACATTGAAAAGATAACAAACATGTGACCTTGAATGAGATTTTAGTATGTAACCAGTGGCTGCCAGGCAGGATACGCCCACATTTTGCAAGAGATGGATAGAGAACAAGCTAAACAAAAAGCGATTATTCGTACAATCAGGGGCCATAATTCAGGAAGTTACACTTCGATATGCGCAAATATTGAAAGGAACCAAGATCTTTGGGTTATAAACTTACATTTCAAGTTTCATCAAAATCAGAAGAAAACTGAAACCTCTAGAGGGACCACAACCTTAATTTTACGCTATTTGAGTATCAGTTTTGGTCCAATTTTCACGAAATTCAAACTCAACCATCCTTAGGGTGTAAAGGTGATATATTCAAATGTTTTTTGAAATCGGATAAAAATTATAACCTTTATAGGGTCCACAAGATAAAAACACGATTTTCCGTACAATCAGGGGCCATAATTCAGGAAGTTACGGTCCGATATGTGCAAATACAGAAAGGAACTGAGATCTTTGGGTTATAAACTTACATTTCAACATTTCACGTTTTATCAAAATCAGAAGAAAATTGTGACCTCTAGAGAGTCCACAACCTTGATATCTCATATTTTTACGCTATTTGAGTACGAGGGACGGCCATTTTGTCTGTCAGTTTTGGTCCGATTTTTACGGATCTTTTGGAGATAAACCTATATTTCAAGTTTCGTCAAAATTGGATAAGAATTGTGACCTGTAGAGTGTCCACAAACAATTGTGGACGTCCGGACGGACCGGGACGACGGCAATATACGTCCACGTGAAAATGTGGGCGTATATAAATATTATAGGTTGTGGTTTAATATTATGCTAAATTTCTCCTGTTATGACTTATATAGTAACCACATATATGAAAAACCACATAAAGAAACTATGCAAAATGACATTGAAATACACATTTAGGAAACCAACGAAACAATTAAAGTACTTGTACATGATCAGATTTAACTGCTGTATTTTCTTTAAAATTCTCTTAGTGTTTTTAAGGAGATATTTGAAATGCTGCCAAGAAATAACCCTCAGCTGTATTTAATTTCTTTGGTTTAAAATACATGGAACTAATGATTGATAGATTTCAAATACTTTTAGTAAGATAGGTTGCCAGGCAACAAAACTACAACCACAGCAGCTAATTCGTCCTGGCAGTTGCATATTTATCCTTGAGTAGGTAATGTGAGCATTTACAAGACACTAAACACTGATCAAGAGTAACAACCCCTGAAGTAATTATCAGAAATAATTAACATTGGATTGACAGTTATTATACAAAATAAGTACTGGTAATTAAATAATTATGTGAGCCTCAAGAGTGGCCATAAGATTTTAAATTGATCAAGGTCCATAACTCTGACAGCAATTATTGGAAACTGATGAAAATCAACAAGCTTCTTCGTCTCATGTTCATTAACACTGTGTATGGATGACAGATCGATGGACCAACGCAACGGAAGGGGGTGATGACAATATATAAAGCACATTTCAATGTAAGGGTATAAAAAGAATTATGAAAATTTCTTGTGTTCTGTGTAAAAGCTACCAGTTTTCTGTAGATTGTTTACAAGGCTTAAATCGCCTATGAAAAATGTTTATTCTGTATAAAATCTACCAGTTTATAAGGCTTAAATCTCCAATAAAAAATGTTTCTGCATCAAAGCTACCAGTTTTTCAACAAATATGGTAGGTTGCTTACCCACTGAATAAGACTTACATATACAAAATTTTATCATAAACATAAACAATAAGTATCACAGGAATAATGAAATATATATATTAAAATGTATTTACCGGTACATGCACAATAGTCACTTAATAAAACAATTCCAATTACAACGTAAACATGATTTTAAAAACAGAAAATGTACAATATTATGGCGCTATAAGTTGTTTAACCACAAAAGTTAGATGTGGTGCCCTGTCCCAACATCTTATTAGTCAATTCGAGTTTTAAAAGAACAGATTGCAGTGAATGCAATATACATCCACATATACCAAGACAAAGTTGCTTAATAAAACAAGCCAACAGTAAGGCTGATGTCCCCTGAAGAAATCCTAAAATAATTGCACATTTATCTTTATCAAAAGTATCTATACTTGGTCTGAGCATAAAATATTCATGATCAAACTCGGTTAGAATCAAAGCTATCTTGTTCCAAAGCAACGACCAATGAAATTGCTTAGCTCTGCTTAGCTTTAGCGGGAAATGTTAATCATTGTCTAATAAACATCTATACCTCATTGTTATGTTCCAAAGTATTGTCCAATCAAATTGCTTATCGCTACATAGCCTAAGCAGAAAATTCTCATCATCGAAATTAGTCAAGGTATTGATATAATGAATCTATACCTGGAGTTCATCACTCTGACCCAATTAGAACCAAAGTTATCTTATTTCATGGTCTCAACCAATCAAATTGTTTATCTCTGCTTAGCCTAACTGGAAAATGTGCATTATCGAACTCATTCACCTCTTAAACACCTACACCAAATTTGAACATTCTACCTCAATTAGAAGGAGAGTTGTTGTGTTCCAAAGTCTCAACCAATCAAATTGCTTATCACATATCAATTAGAAGCAGAGTTATTTTGTCCCAAAAAATGTGACTGACTGACGGACGAACGGACAGACAGAAGCAGGGGACAAAAAGAAGATTGCAGTTGGTTAATAAACACACGCAGAAGGCATTTATGTTCGAATTTATGTAGATGATCTGAAATTGCATTTCAAATCCAACAATTGGATCAGCATTAATTGTGAGATGGACAGTTCGTAAAAATTCAAGTACAATTCTAGTTGAGATATTTGTAACATAAGTAAAGTTATTTCACTTCTAACAATTTATCAAAGTAATTCAAATAGGCTAATTAAATATGAATCGACAGAAGTGACTGTGATAATGAATTGATTTTCAAAGTTTCATCAAAATTCATTCACTAGAAATGATATTATTGCGTTCCAATGGAATCAAGACAGACGCATAGAAGGATGGATGGAAGATTTGACTTAAATTTGTGCTTTTAAAAATCAGATGTAACACTGGAAAAAAATGAATTTTGATTATATGATCAAATGACAAGAATAATGAATGGTATGTCCTGATAAGTAATATCATGTCAAAGTTGATTTAACAGAGAACATCACAAAACAATGTATATACAATTGACAAAAGAACATGTATGTTGAATATTTTTTTTCAAATCATTTCACCACCGGATGTTCCTTCATGTCAAAACTATTCTTTAATATGCTAGTCTCTTCAGAACCACTTTAGCAGTTCCTTGATAACTTATCATTATGGCTTGATTTCTGGCATATTAAGCTAGTTAAACAGTATAGAAAACGACCATTTTAGCATTATATAAAGTCATTTAAAACTGATCATCCAGGTCTTCATCAGGTGAGATTCCTGTGCTGTAGTTTCTAAGAGAATCTATGTCCAATTCCTCCTGAATTATAGGTGGCTGGGAATTACTGTCTAAAAATTCTCTGTCCATCACTAACTGGTTTGATAAATCTGGTGTATCTATTTGATATCGATAAGAAAAATCTTCGGTTAAAGAAACGTTTTGTAACCAGAAAGGCTCCCCCAAAGACAAAATAGAGTTTCCCACAAAGTCAAAATCACTAGGCAACCGTTTAAACAATTTATCATAAAATGGTGCTCTGATTTCTTTCGTTTTCTTTTGTCTTCTAACAGGGTATTTTTCATTAGTTCCATCCGATTCTTTTAAAGAACTTGCGGAATCTCCAGTACTTGTTTGGTCACTTGGTGTTATGTCACTGACAATTTTTTCATCACTACTGCCCTCAGAGGAAACACTCATATCTCTTTTTGAAGACAAGTCTGTTTTAGAAGATTTGGGACTTAACATATTAAGTATTTCATTTGTTTCTGATATGTCACTATTTATAGATTCCACATTCAAAGAATCACAGTTCAATAGATCATCATTATTACAATTCGCCAAATCTTCAGCACTACAGTTCATTAAACTGTTAGAATTAGAGTTTGTAATATCGAAAATATTACGATTTGCGACATCATCAGCATTACAATTTGTAACATCAGCAGCATTTTCACAATTAATAGCATTTGAATGTGTTGCCATTAATTCTTCCTGAACTCGTGATTCCATATGTACCTGTAACTGATGTCCAAGTTTAAATATATCTTCCATAGCGGTTTCTTTGTTTTTGTCTTCACTACTATTCATACCAGATGATTCTTCAGACTGAATAAAAAAATGAAAATTGTCCTAAAATTTTGTAACAAGTATAGATCAAATAAAACACTGTCAAGCACAGCAAAATATATTCCACAACAGCTTTTGTTATTTGAGCTAACAATGACATGGATGAAAGGATGGAAGACTGAAGCATCAGGAGAGAAAACAGACATTGTAGCACCATGCAGTGATATGCATCGCTGGTTACACTGTAACCAAGGTATCATTTAATCTTGTGTATCTAGCACTAATTTCTTTCACATTCGTTTAATATCAGATCTTTGTTTAGAAATTTGTAAAAACTGTTTAAAATCACCATAAATCGTTTAATTTGTACTTATGTCCAGTTTAATTTCTCAATCACTGTTCAAAAATAAACAACCCAATTGATTACTGATGTATAATGATTAATTTTTGAACAGTGGTCAGGAAATTAAATACTTGTAAATTGGACACTCATTATCAAAATTAATCAGTCAGCTTTAAACTGGACACAAGTACAAATTAGATGATTTTTGGCGATTTTAAACAGTTTTTATAAATTTTTAAAGAAAGATTGGATATTAAATGAATGTGAAAGAAATTAGTGCTAGATACACAAGATTAAATGATACCTGGGTTACAGTGTTAGATGTGGAGGAAAGTACATGGGGAAAACTCCCCACGGCCAACGTGTGATGCATACTTTCTTCTGCTACATATTTTAATAGCCTTGTGACCGTCTAGTATTGTATCTGGTTATATTTGTAATTATCTTTTTATGGCTAGAACCATACTATCTCAGTTTTTACATTTTATATCAAGCACTGGGTACATAGGTTACAAGCTTAGGTTACATTACAATACTTAAAATTAAGATGTCTTTCTCTCCACCCCCTAATTCATAGATTGAGTTTACTGACAGAACACACATCATATGACTCTCCTACAACCTAACAGGGCATTCTGAATCCAGATGGTGTCTCTTCAACCTCAACGGTATCTCCCAACATTATGCCTCTCTCTAAGAATCTAGCGACTGTCTTCTGATTGCCCAGAGCTCTGATGGTTTTTTACACTTGAGTTTCGACTTTAAATTATCTAATTGGTCAAATATGACGTAAGTAATTAAAATGATTGGTTACTAAGCCAAATGATGCAATAGTAATTTTCCTATCATAAGTGATCTGGTGATATTTTGTTTTCAAATAGAACCAGCTATGTTTACCAAATTATAAATCTTTTTATGTGACAACCCATCACTCATTCAATTTGAATGTGCGAGATATGACTTCTCTATATTATGAAACCAATAATTAGTTAAAGTTATAATATGGTCGTAGAGACCATAGTACTACAACATGCACATTTATTATTCAGAAGCCTACAGTTAACTGAAATACTTAACATTGTTTGTTTAAGTCATAATGACTACAAAAAACAGTTTTGGAATTCCAGAACCCCAATTTGCTTTATGGCACACATCCAAAACATAAGCCGGTGTGGTACACTGTAAAGTAATTATTATTGAACGCTACAAAATCCCTACTGTGTAATTTTTTATCACCGTACAGATGGTATACAAAATATTGGTATAACTCCAGAAGTGTAGAGTTTCAAACAGTACAAAAACACAAATATTATAAATTTATTATGCATTATTTAAGGAATCAGAAACTTACAATTTCTCCTAGTAATTCCAGTAACTGTGCCACAATCAAATCACTTGAGATCATATGCTTTAAAAAATCTTTATCACTCTTTAGCACATCTTGTAAATTAGGTGTTGGCATCTCATATCGCATCTGTGTATCTTGAGTCCAGTGAACAGCTTCAACCCATTGCGGTTTAACTCCCATATTTAGCGTAGATTTATGCTGAGTGGGTATTCTCTGCTGGTTTTTTCCAGTATAGGTCTGAAAAGGTTTAATTAGAAATATAAATAATGATAGAGATTTACCCACCCTCCAATTTTTTCAACAAAAACCACAGAGTTATATTTCTCTTGAATGCAATCTAGCAAAAATTATAAATAGGTCTTGAATTTTTGTATGTACTATGCAATAATGTATACTGTGAAATAAAATACTGTATAAAAAACCTATAGTCTTGAACACCACAAATTACATTATAATCCAAAATCTAGGGTTGCCATCAGGTAAAATTATATGCATCGATGCATCAAAGGAAAATATTTTTACTGGCATCGATAAATTTGTCACTCACAGTAATGTTTTTAAATTCCTTGCCGCAAAAGTCTGTTTGTTCATAATGTTAAAAAATGTAAGTCAAAAACAATACCGTTCGTACTTTTGGTGGGTAATTACCACTATCTAGTAATATATACAGTGATGAATTTGTCTCCTCTTCTGTTGATGAACAATCAGGCTCTGCAGAGTTACTGGATGACTGATGCTACAAAAAATAAATACAAAATATTTCATACAGTCTCATGATGTCATTACAACAATTTAGTACTTTTAATCCAGATACGTCACTTACTTGTATTGTCACAACCCCACTGACGACTTTCCAAATTTAATTGTTTAACTACCATAATACTTTATTTTGCTATTTTACATAATATATATTGATACTTAAGTCTGTGTTGTAACTATTTTTCAAAATTCAAAGCACTGACCCGCCAACTTAGGACTGTATCTCAGCGATCAGTTTTGAGATTGGTCCCAGTTACATCCTCTTGTAACTGTGTAGGCAAATCAAGTCAATTCAAAAATGATTTATTTACAGATAAGAAAAGATCTCTATATCCTTACCATCATTTTAAAATTTAGCGGTTGAAGAGAGGCTGGCCAGGGTACCGTTAATAAATTACCATGTTCATCACTAGCTGGACCTAACTCACCACCAGAATGAAGTAATCCTCCCATAACAAATGGTGAAAATGAACAACCTGTAAATCAAAATAACATTATCTGTAACTTGGATTTAATGTCTAATTACTTAAATTAATAACATACGATAAATTTATTTCTATTGCTACAATGCGAGGAAGAGTCTTTATCACAGGCAGCGGTTTCATCACTGTATCTCAATTAGAATCAAAGTTATTGTGTCCTAATGAACATCTACACATTCTACCTCAATTAGAAGCAAAGTTATTGTGTCCTAATGAACATCTACACATTCTACCTCAATTAGAAGCAAAGTTATTGTGTTCCAAAATGTATGACAGACTAATGGACAGACTCGTTTTAATAGTATAGTCCCCTGCTTTCTCTAAAAGGCTGAGTATAATAAAGTTTGAAATATAATGACCAATCAGAGTTGAATTAAACTAAATGTAGTAAAAATCTTCTTTGAAATTAACTGTCAAGCTATGATAGCTTTCATGTGTATTTTTTATACCAAAATGCAAGTCACAACAATGTAGTTTTATTGATAGATTCTTATATTCATTTTAAAATTATACCATTGGAAAAATAATTGCAGACTATTCAATATGCCATGGCAAAACCACTGAATTGCAACATGACATACAGGGCTTGCCACGAGCCACGAGCAGTTGCTCGCGCTGTGCTCGCGCTGTGCCCGCGTAAATCTACATTTACGCGAGCGGTTCGTTGCTCGCGCAAAATTTTAAGAAAACCCTGTAAAAATAATCAAAATATTGACAAGTTTATTGCCGAAACTAAACCAACAATGTCAATAACTTCATAAATTCGTCTGTCAAACTGAGATTCACCCAGCTGCAGGCGGCATTTCCTCCTTAAATTTGATTGGCTAAAAAGTTACTCAGCACTCTTGTTACTAAAAATACACTTTAGACCTGAACGTTATGACTGGTTTTCCTACGAACACCAGTAACGAACGCGTGATAATCGAGTCTAAAGTAAAGAATGTTTACATCCGGCATTAGGCATTCACGCTAAATGAACACGTTTCAAACTAATATTTATCGGTATTTTCTATTTTATCAGAACTTCGGTTTTTATTCCATTGTGCAGTCGTATAATTTTCAATCTAAGCGTAATAATGGCCAAAGGCAACCTGATTGCCCTATCCACATTTATTTCGTGGGGTGAAGAAATCCATACGGAAATTGGTTTTAATAAAGAAGAGTACGTATGACTGTCAAAAACAGAAAGCGATGGTCACACATGTTTACTGCAAACTTTGTGCCAGGAATAGCAATTTTCTTATGATTTTAAATTGAAACAATGTTACAAAATGTGTGCTCACGCAAACAACATTTTGCGTGAGCAATTTTTATTGCTCGCCTTGCTCGCCCAAACCTAAATTTGCGTGAGCAGTCATTTGCTCGCCATCAATTTATCCGTGGCCAGCCCTGACATACATTTATACTGTTTGTGGAATTCCACAAGGGACACAGTAGAAAAAGTTCCACTGCTTCTCGTCAAGAGACAATAGGTTTCTATGCCAATGTAAGAAAATGAGAGTAAATAATTGAAATATTAAGTCTACCTGGAGAAGAATAACACGGCCACTGGACATCTTTATTTCCCACTTGTTTATCATATCCTGAATACAGGTCAACATTACTTGACTCAAAAGACATGATTGGTAAACCTTGTGGAAATGCGCCATAATTACTTCCCACTGGAGCAAATTCAGCATCTGGTATTTTATTCGCTTTATTTGTATCTGTATTACAAATCGGCAATTTGGAACGAAACAAAAAGTTTGAATTTTGTAAGGCTTTTTTAACCGCCATGTCAGCATCGCCTAGGTGTACTTTTTTACTTTTTCCTTTAGCGATGTCTTCATTGTCAGTTTCATGCTGTGATCGAGTACGTTTTCTACACGATGCCACTTTGAGAATAATAGAATTCTGATTTGGTCTTGGTAAAATGATACTTTTATCTTTTTTAACTCGTTGAACATATAACTTCTCCTGAAACTTGGTGTGTTCACGTAGTCTAGCTTGTGTCAGATGAACTGGTGTAAAGACTTGCCGTACTGGTGTCATTTCAATAGACTGCTGAGAATCCTCATCCACATTACGTGGAGATCCTATACACACTTCTTGATCTGACATATTCACCTGAAAAATAAAGTCAGAGAGACTTAATAAGTGAAATGAAATGGGGTTTATCGTCCTACTTAGGCTGGGCTAATGAAGACCATGTGCTATTAAGGAAATTTTGCCCGAACAGCGGCGTTATAAAGCCGACTCTTATATCGAATTCCAACTGCCAAGGGATCACTTACGAGCATGCCAATGTGTACACAGGATCTCGTTTTTTGGTCCCATTTGACCAACTAGACAGCTGTCCTGTCAGACCCTCCGTTATGCACCACTGACAAGGTGAAACCACGTCGAAAAATCCTGACAAACTTACTTGGCCAACACTGGGAGCGAACCCACGACCTGAGAGACATAAGCCACTATATTATGCAATATAAAATTTCATAAGAGGGTAATAAGTATTGGGTAAATTCAAACATAATTGGCCAAGGTTTACAACGTAAAATTCTTCTATTTCATCAAGTGCGTGTGTTAGGCCGAGGATGCCCATCAAAAGTAGAATGCATCAGGAATATTTGAGACCTACCTTGATACTACTATCATCTGTATGAGCTGTTTGATGTGATGGAATACTGATCATAAACTCATCCACGCCTTTAAAATAAATATCATTCACAAATATTAAACTTCAAGATTTAAGCTAGGCATATTCATCCTGTGATGGAGATCAAAAGGGTAATGCTCTAGATCACAAGCCCCCCCCCCCCCTCCGAATATTTCACAATATCTTTTACATGAATAGATAGCAATTGTGTGGATGGATGTTAAAGAAAAATCAAGAAATATCTGTATGTACCTTTAACATCACCACCAGACTGTTCATTTGCTTCCAATTTTGATAAAGTCAATGGTCGACTCTGCAGAAATCTGAAAATAGTCAAAACATACATATGGATTTCTAAATCTACTGTATTCACATAAGGTTTCATATACAAAATAATGAACATGCACAATAGTTTATAATAGCCATACACTACAAATATGGTTAACAATTGCATAAATTTTATCTTTGTCACTAGTTAAAAAAGGATAATTTATCAGTCTGTATCCAAGCTTATCTGTTAAGCCTTGGATAAATTCCTGGTCAAGACAGATTTTGGAAGATCAAGATATTCTAATTTAAATAATTTCATCACTAGTAATGCAAAGGAATTTGTAATAAGTAAAATTCTCACCTTTTAATATTGTAAGAATAATTGAGTTGTCCATAAGATACATAGGTATCTGAATCTGTTGGTAAACTTTCAGCTGGAGATATTATGTCACTTGAAGATTCACCCTACAAATGATATCAATCATTATTTAATTGGTTTTTAAACCTAACAACTTGGCTTGGCATATCTATGGTCTATAAGATTTTATTCATTACTATCATTTGAATGTTATGGAACAGAATTCTCTCCTTCTCAAAAACCGCAACAATCAAGTGAAAAAGCAACTGTGAGACTACACAGTAGGAGTCAACTTAGAGATAGAGAAAAATTTGGGTTAAATGGCTATTCAACACTGACATTTCCAGACTAGCATATTATATCTATATTTCAATGAAATGCTTCCAGCACAGGGGTCTTATGACAGTGGAGAGAATCTGAGAAAACTCATTAGGCTAGGCAGACGATCCTTACACATTAGTGACAAGACATATATATCTCGGTTAATCTTTGAAGAAAATCTTGAATTTTTTATTGGTTTTTTTTTTTTTTTTGGATCAAAACAATTCAAAGTAAAAAATTAATATACCTTCTTAGAATCTGAAACAGCTTTTGGCAGAGCAAATGAAGTGTTACTTTCACAGAAATGATCATCAGAAGCTGGAAAGTGAAAAGGGTGAAATGTATACATTAGTATTAACCTTAAAACGTTTCAGCGTGTTTAGTAAATAAAGGTAATACACAGGACACAATTTATTATTACTGAACTATATTTTAACTGGGCTTCTCTAGTTTTTATCAAGCATTTTAATGAACACCAGAAAACCCTATGTTCGAAAAGCCACTTAGTAATATAATAAAAACAGTAATTGTGTTCCTTAGATTTATGTCCATTGCTTGATAAAGATGAGCAAAGCCTATGTACAGTATTAGGAGGTAAGCACAACAGCAATACTACAAAATAGTGTTGGGTTATCCATCAAAACTTTACAAGCAATTTTAAGTTGATTAAAAGACATTATTTAAATAATTCTTTTTTCTCCAGATGAGTCCAATCCAATTTTCAAAATAAAGTTAGCAATATTCAACTTACTTATATTAGTTCCAGTATTATCTTCACTCAGTGATGATGACGAGGCTATAGCTGTTACTGGCTGTAGATAAAAATATTTAACAAATAACATTATTTTGTCAAAGAAATACTACATGTTTTTTAAAAAATCAAAACAAAGAACACCACAAGAATATACTTTGGTTTCTACCTAACAGGTACATAGTAGACTGTTCCAGCTGTTCTAATTTCCATAACTCTTTTTCTTATTTCCTTTTTTTGGTGTCTGTGTGTGTTTGGGGAGGTGGGGGGGGTGTCCTAAAAATGTTTTCTTTTTTTAAATTTATATTTGTTTAATTGGATGTCCTAACCTCATAACACAACATAATACTTACTTGTTTCAATAATCTGGTTATCTTTCTTTGAAGATTTGTCACTTCCAATTCTGTTAACTTTGTAGGAGTAACATAATTTTCTGTTGTTTTTTCTTTAAAGATATCCGGATCTTTTGGACCACTGGAAACACAAAGGCAGGTTGTTAGTGGACAAAACATACATGACAAACAAAATATTCATGATTATGCCACCATTCACATACGACACATGCATTAAAGTAAATGTATGTCTATTTTTAGTATCAAAACTTTAACAAGTGGTTGCCATGCAATATACACCCCAATTTTCCAAGAGATGTACAGAGAACAAGCTTAAAAAGTGATTTTTTGTACAATCAGGGGCCATAATCCAGGATGTTACAGTCTGACATACGTCGATATCGAAAGAAACCAAGATCTTTGGGATATATATCTATATTTCAAGTTTCATCAAAATCAGATAAAAAATTTGACCTCTATAGGGCCCACATGTGCTACCTATTTTAGTTAGCTAATGAAATTTGAACACCCAGAAGAGTTTTGGAGGTGATCATGGACAATAATTATTGGAAATTGTTGAAAATCGGTAAGTGTATTTGTCTTATGGACATGAACACAGTATATAAATTTCAAGCCAAGATCTTCCACAAGATTATGCAAAATGATCAAGAGCAAAAACTCTGAAAACAATTATCAACAATCAATGGTTTCCTTTGTTCTAATGAAAATATTCAAGTATATACATTTTTAAAGCAGGGCGTCCACTTCAAAATTTTTACCGTCAGTCAAGTGATTGTGAGCATCTACAAGAAATCGCAGGAAACAGACAGAAGAATGGACAAACATGGGGGAGAACAACATTTATTAATGCATATTAAACCTACCTAATAACTTTATGTTTACCCATGATTATTTCTACCTGGTTTGACCAGGGATTAACAAAACAAGACCATTCTGTTTCCACAATAATCCAGTCATTATTCTTTGTTTTCAACTTCATTTTCAGTGTTTTAAATGGTTGACCTTTCATGGTAATGACTAAAAATAAAATAAACATAAATGAATCAAATATCATGAAGGCACAAAGCAGTTAATTATAGATTTTAATATCGGAACCTCATATGACCCAATTATGGCCGGTTTGTTTCAAAATGGATTAAGAACCCTGGTTGGAAGTGACCGATTCCACTGTACAATACTTAATATCACACAGAATAACAGCAAAAAATTCAAGACCAGAAACTACAAAAAAAACATAAACGACCCCAATCAATATTACTCCCCTCTAAGTCTGACACAATTTGAACATATTATTTTTTACTTGTTTTTTATTCGTTTTACTTTGACAGTAATGTGGTCATAACAAAATAACTGGAAAATACCAACAGATAATGTAATGTGGGAATATAAAAATAAATTTAATGGTCAAACAGATAACCCAATCAAACTAAAAGGAATATTTCGTTAAGTGATTATATGTTACTGATAATTACCTCGTCTGTATGTATGTAACAATTCTTCTAAATTATCAGGGTGAAGAAGATTAAAGATGGAGGTTCCCAGAAGATCTTGAGGAAGATAACCCAATAATTGTACAGTGCTGGAATACATAAAATAATACTTACAATTTAATTTAAAGGGGCATTATGGGATATTAGATAAAGAGCTGACAGTTCTCGCTATAATAGTTAAAAACAAGATATGGTAAAGGAAATTTGCTGAAAATTTCAGCCAAATTGATCCACTCTGAACCAAGATTTTAAATTTTAGGCCTAGGCTCGATGATCATTACTAAAGTCGGTACGATTAAAAAACATAGTCTTGATTATCCAGTTTTGAATTAAATCATCAATGAGCGTTGAGCAGCAAAATGGATTCAAATCCAGTAAATATCACAGGATAGCGATGACATATGGAGTTGATTATGGTCTGGATAAGTTAATTACTGTCTAATCAATAATTTAGATAACATTTCAGGCCTAAGGAAAAACCTGCAATAGGCAGATTTAGCTCTTGCATAATTTATGTTTAAACAGAATGTATTAGATATAATAATAACCCCTTGCCCCAAGCGCCCTCATGCTGACTTTTCTTGGAACCGTATTAACTGCCATGCTTTTTGACGAGTGATTAAATATGAAAAGAATCAAGCCGATGTACCTATTTTCATTAATGTTTGTGGTAATCTTAAATATTAACCTATTCAGAATACGATATGCTACACAACTATTTTTGTTCAAGTATGGTTATATTAAAGAGAATGGATTAAAAAGCATGGAATTTTATGGGCATACACAAAAATAATAGTCTGGTTCTTAACTAATTTTTCCCCAAAAGATGAGACCATGGTGTCAAAACATGCATGGGACCGACAGCTAATCAGCGTCACATAACTCTTTTGGCACTAAGTGATTGGCTGTTACAATTTTAATCTTCATATTCCATAAAAATGGAAAATAACTTACAATTATCGGTACCTGAGGGACCGATAGCTGAGGGACTGATAGCTGAGGGACCCATTGATTAATCACAAACAAATGTAATACATACTTTTTACTCAAATGGGTAAATTTACAATTAAATGAAAGTCTTATGCTGAAAGATTTTTCTACAGAGGCACCCGCTGAAATTAACAAGAAAATAATGATTAAAACAAATTTGTATCTTACTTTCCAATCTGATTAAAATAAAGATCTATATTTCGTTTCATATTTTTAGACTTTCAATGGTCGACACTACATGAAGATCTGACGGGTTGTAGTGGAAGGTCATGTCAGGGGTTGTACGAGCGTTTTTTGACTGTATGAAGTTAGACATTGATTAATCAATCAGCATTGACGTTTCCAGTGGTTTACCCATAGTTCTGGACATAGCACACCAAGCACGCGCCGTAACAGACCATTTCATTTCAACCAGAATGTGGATTATATAACAACTCTTCCAGATCCTAGTATTGTGAAGACAAGTAAGTAGAAATTTTGAACTATAAAAAAGCGAAATGAAATAGGATCTGTGTTTTAATCAGATTGCATACTTCCACATTAAAAATGGTATTATAATTGATTAGAAGTCGACAGTGTTTTATATTAACTGTGTTTATATGCAAAAATGAAAGCATATTATCTTTGTTTATCTATATTTTAAGTCTTATCTATATATAACAACTCTTCCAGATCCTAGTGTTGTGAAGACAAGTAAAACGAAATTTTGAACTATAAAAAAAACGAAACGAAATAGGTATTATAATTGATTAGAAGTCAACAGTGTTTTATATTAACTGTGTATATATGCAAAAATTAAAGCATATTATCTTTGTTCATCTATATTTTAACTCACCCCATCCCAAATACTTATATAAAGCTAACATTAATAATAATATATGTCACTTACCTGGTGTATATGCTGATATACATGGTTGAAGTTTTAAAGTAAAACATTTCTCAACCAAGTCAGATTTATCTGTAATGTATGTCCAGCTTGGTTCTAGTTTATTTTTACCCTTCTTGAAGACTATCTTGGCATGTAATGGTACATAATCTGCCGTTTTATTGACGGTAAAACCATGAAAAATGTCCTGGAAACACCTGTAACACAAGTTCAAGAAAATTTATCTACAATTTACAATGGACAGCTGTCTAGTCATTTGGATGGGATGAAAAGCTGAGGTCCTGTGTACACATTGGCGTGCACATTATAGTTTCCCTGAGCAGTTGGAATTCGATAAAAGAGTAGGCTGAAGTGCCGCTGTCCGGGCAAAATTTCCCTCATAGCACAATGTATGGCATATGCCCGTCCTCATTCGCCCAGTTCAGAGCAAAACAGTTAGACATTAAACCTCATTTGTAACCTTCTTGTTTATGTCATTTCTAAATGAACAATTAATGCCATTCTTACCTGAATCGTGCAAAAAAACTTTTAGATTGCTGACCATCTTCTAAAATAGAAAATAAAAAATTTAGAAAAATGAAAATTTGAATAATATTATATTTTATGATATTCCACAAATAAGACTACAGAACCATCAAACACACATGATGCACAATTTAAGGTCTATACAAGTATTCACACAAATAATGAATTGATTAATTAGAATAAATTAACTGACTAAAGAAAACCTACAGTTCACCAAGTTTGAACATTCTACCTCAGTTGGGGGGTTGGATGTTGTATCATAAGGTCTGTCAATGAGGCAACTTGCGTGCTTTCGATTCCCTGGTTGTATGTGACAAGGAGTAGGGTCGCCTGTCCAACCTCATGGGTTTTCTCCGGGTCTTCCGGCTTCCTCCCTTTGCTAAGACCCTTCCACACAAGTGAATTATTGGAATAAAATTGAAGCATGTCAGTCCTGAAATTACCTAGTTTGTGTCAAGTGGACGTTAAACCCAATTTCTCTCTCTCTCTCTCTCTCTCTTTCTCCTTCAGTTAGATGCAGGGTTATTTTGTTTGAACATTCTACCTCAATTAGAAGCAGGGTTATTTTGTTTGAACATAAATGGGGATATAGCTCGAAACATTTCGAATAGTGTTCTTCCTTACAACCAAATGAACAATCCCTGTGAGTTGAAGGGACCAATGGACATAGGTGATATCTCAGAACTTGAATAAGATTTAAGCAGTTTTGAAAGCACTTATATGTACCTACTTTAGTTTAAACATATTTTATTGACACATATCAAAAGGATCAGACGCAACTTACCTGCATTATCAGTAGATGATAAATTACCAAGTGTTGTGTTCAGAGTAGCCAGATCTTTCCTCAAGATAAAATTAGTAAATGAACAACCCTGCCAACTATCCTGAAAAAATGAACATAAAATTGAGTGCAGTGAGGTGTATAAATATTCATTCCTTCTGGGTTGGTTGTGTTTGCTACTCCACAATCTACATGTTAATTTCATCAGAAAATAAAATTCTTCTTATGAACTCCAAAAATACAACTACAGTGGACTCTGTCACATCCGACATCGTGCGGTATCGTTACAATAATTCGGATCACACAGCGTTTCGGAATACCGAGTTTTCAACAAAACCGGAAATACTGTAACTTCGAAAACTGGAAGTATTTATAAATTGTTGCTTCGAATCACCAGAATGCTATTCCCTTTATAAATGATAAACTTTTCTGTACTTTCAAAATTTTATTATATTAAATAATTAACAATAACAATGCATGCGTACAATATATTCATAAATCGTTTACATGTAATATCAATGCATGCGTACAATATATTTATAAATATCAATGCATGTAATCTTTTAAAGTAGTTTGCTTGGTTAACATTACGAGGGAAGCATATCGTAAGGCGGGGTCCTGGGCAACATCATCTTACAAATGAATTGTTGCGATCATCTTTTCGTCCTTAATCTGTGCGAAGTGTTTAATGTCGTTGAGCATGCGTAGGAATTTTGAATAGGTCAAATCTGTCGTTAATATCTATTCTTCATCGTCCCCGTCTTCAGTCAATTGTCATTTATAATCTGTCGTTCTATGTCCAGTTTTTCAAGCCAATCAAAGTAAACGGCACCTGTCATCCAAGCTTTGCGATTGGCCGACCAATTGACTGGCAGGTAAATCTTGTCCACTCCCTTAAAACAACTCGGGCTCACTGCTTTACCATCAAAGTAATCAACACAGTTTTAATCTCACCGATAATTGATTGGTGATTACTTGTTAATCTTTTATGGCTTCACACCCATTGAGTTTTAATCTCACCGATAATTGGATGCTTCACACCCACCGTTTGAAGTACGGATTATATGGTGTCGATTCAATGGAAATTGTGTGACGGGACGGCTGATTGATTTCGGAATCCGGAACATACAGAATTCGGATTTACCAGCGATTTTTTGGCTGAAGTAATAAGGAAAAAATTCGGGACATGAAAATCATACCGGATGTCACAGCAATCCGGAGTGATCAGAGATCGAATGTGACAGAAGCCACTGTATACACAGTTGCTCCCATATTTAAAGATGTACAATATTTTATTACCTATCATAATACATGTACATACAGGTAGTAATATGTAACTGCTGTCTAAAAATTAAATATACCTTACGAAATCCTAAATGGTTTGTCAGATTTTCAGACACTTCGATTACCATCAATTTGCTGCAAGTCAATGTTACATAAAATATCTGAAACAGAACAAAAACATAAATTACAATTTAATGCATAATATTTAATACATCTGCTGCATCAAATTCTTAATAACTTCAGCATGCATATAATGCACAACAATTCACATTAAGGGATTAAACATCTGGTATTAATTTTCTCATATTCATCATCATCATCTTCCTTATGGCTAGTATATTAAAATACAGTTTGATGAAATTATATATAGTAAGTGCAAGAGGACTGCACTGAACACAAACAATTACACAAGATAAATCTACAGACAAGAAACAATATACAGTAATCACAAACAACAAACGTACATATCAGATACAATGACCCAATCGGGGGGGGGGGGGGGGGGGGAGCGGTAGCTAACCGTGAGAAGTGTCAACTACGCTGTACAATCCCGGGAGTGTAGTTATTCCGACTTCTATCATGATAGGTCGCCAAGCAATGAAACATACGCCCACAGTGGCTAAATCGTCCATGCAGTCAACAATGTGTCGCATATTTAATCTTTTGTAGGTAATAAGGGACGTTAACAAGACAATTTCATACAGATTATAATTTTTGTCCTTTGAGAGTTCACAAGGTTCTACAAACTGAAACAAGGGTCTTAACTCTAGAAGTAATATACAAAAATTGTTGAAATTTGACAGTCTTATTTGTTTTATTAATTTCAATAATGCATATAAATTTTATACAGATCAGATGATGACTCTTGTTATTCGAGCGTTCACAATGTTCAACAAAGTAAAACAAGGGCCATAACTCTAGAAGCAATTCACGGAAATTGCTGAAATTCAATAGACTTCTTCATTTCACTAACTCAAATGATACACATAAATTTCATACAGATCAGATGAAAAATTTGGCCGTAAGAGCGTTAACTGGGTTCAACAAAGTGAAACAAGGGCCATAACTCTAGCTGTAATAAACAGAAATTCAATAGGCTTCCTCGTATAAATTTCATACAGATCGGATGATAATTTTTGTCGTTCACAAGGTACAATAGAGTGAAACAAGGGCTATAACTCTAGACAAAATTAACGGAAATTATTGATATTAACTAAGCTTCTTTGCCTCATGAATGTACACAACATATATCAATTTCAAAACAATCAGATGATAAATGTAGCCTGTAGACGCACGGACTGGGTCGAAGGTAATATACGACCACATTGGGTGTATAAAAATGAAAGATAGGTTGCCAGGCAACGTAACATACGCCCACAGCAGCTAAATCGTCCGGGCAGTCAACAAGAGTTGTCGCATATTTTTACAAAACTTTTAATACTGTATCATGAATTTAGCTGTTCCAAGTCATAAAAATTCATTGAAAATCAATATACTTATTCGTCTCAAGATCTTAAACTCTGTGTATCAATCTGCAGTCAATCGGATATTAACTTTGGCCTCTAGAGCGTCCACAAGATTTTTTGAAGTGATCAAGGGCCATAACTCTGACAGTAATTATCGGAAATCGCTGAAAATCAATAGGCTTCTTCGTCTCATGACCTTAAACACTGTGTATAAATTTAAAGTCAATCGGATATTAATTTTGGCCTCTAGAGCGTCCACAAGATTTTTTGAAGTGATCAAGGGCTATAACTCTGGCAGTAATTATCGGAAATCGCTGAAAATCAACAGGCTTTTTCGTCTCATGACCTTAAACACTGTGTATAAATTTAAAGTCAATCGGATATTAACTTTGGCCTCTAGAGCGTCTACAAGATTTTTTGAAGTGGTCAAGGGCTACAACTCTGGCAGTAATTATCGGAAATCGCTGAAAATCAACTGGCTTTTTCGTCTCATGACCTTAAACACTGTGTATAAATTTAAAGTCAATCGGATATTAACTTTGGCCTCTAGAGCGTCCACAAGATTTTTTGAAGTGGTCAAGGGTTATAACTCTGGCAGTAATTATCGGAAATCGCTGAAAATCAACAGGCTTCTTCGTCTCATGACCTTAAACACTGTGTATAAATTTAAAGTCAATCGGATATTAACTTTGGCCTCTAGAGCGCCCACAAGATTTTTTGAAGTGATCAAGGGCCATAACTCTGGCAGTAATTATCGGAAATCGCTGAAAATCAATAGGCTTCTTCGTCTCATGGCACTAAACACTGTATATAAATTTAAAGTCAATCGGATATTAACTTTGACCTCTAGAGCGTCCACAAGATTTTTTGAAGTAATCAAGGGCCATAACTCTGGCAGTAATTATCGGAAATCGCTGAAAATCAATAGGCTTCTTCGTCTCATGGCCTTAAACACTGTATATAAATTTAAAGCAAGGGTCAATATGGGCATGGAAAATTTAGTCTTCACTGGCTACTAAATGCTAAAAATTTACTAGCCAGAACCAAAATTTTAGTAGCCAGAAATTACAATGCTATTAACTGTAGTCTGTAACGTAAATCACTACTAGATATTACGCGTTGTTTTTTTTAATCTGTGTCTGAGAGGAATCTTCCTTTTTTTTAAAGAAAGAGCTTAAAAGATTTTGTTTTTATTCATTTTATTAATATATAGGGAATAACTTTAATGTATGGGTTAGAAAAATGGGTCAACAACATGCGTAGTCGGACATTTTGTATACATTGCCGTAAGTTAGAAGTTAGAACGATTTTCGGCACATGGTAAGAAAATATATGAATGTCGTAAATATTTTCGTTAAATTGGAGTTATTTCCCCTAGTAAGTTCCGGTTTTACGAGGCGCTGAATAAACAAATTCAATTTTGTAAAAAAAAAATTTGTAATTATTTTAAAACGAGAAAAAAATCTTACAGTACCCAGCTGGCGACTCAAGTGAAAATTATAACTAGCCAGAAAATATATTTTGTCGCCATGGCGAGTGATTTAGTCGCCATGTAGAGCCTTGATTTAAAGTCAATCGGATATTAACTTTAGCCTCTAGAGCGTCCACAAGATTTTTTGAAGTGATCAAGGGCCATAGCTCTAGCAGTAATTATCGGAAATCGCTGAAAAGCAATAGGCTTCTTCGTCTCATGGCCTTAAACACTGTATATAAATTTAAAGTCAATCGGATATTAACTTTAGCCTCTAGAGCGTCCACAAGCAATTGTGGACGCCGGACGGACGGACGGACGGACGGGGGCGACGATAATATACGACCACATTTCAATGTGGGCGTATAAAAACAGACATACAATAACCGAGTATTTCTCAAACATTGTATAATAATATTGTGAGTTTAAAATACAGTTTGATAAAAGTAATTAAAAGTTCTGGCCTGTAAAGAGCATGCAATTGATCCAGAATTAAAAATTACAGTAGATGCCTCGTAATCCGGTTTCACGTAGGCGTTTTACGGACTGTCTGGTCTGAGATCCTACGTTGTCCAGGAATTGCGGCTGCACTAGTGGTCGCTGTTGTGAACCGTTTCCGTAAATATAATATAATGTATTATCTGAGGTCAATGGAAAATTGAAGTGGTTTCAAATGAACAATAACAGTCCGCTAAATTTTTCTTGGAATTTCTGTTCACGATTTTATTGTGAAAACCAAACAAAATAACTTTTGTTTAATCTCCTGCAAATCATCTCATGGCATGGAATTTAGAAAACTGTATACTAATTCAATGCCACTTATTCCATCTATTAAAATCCAAGAAATTTCTTTTTTGGGCTATAATAATCACAATTAAATAGAATTGCATGCAAACCAAATAATATCTGCAAGTACAATAATTACCTCTGATTGGGAGTCTTTATCAGAATTAGTCCTAGCGGTCTGTAGATTGTCTTTAGGAACAACAATGTTACCCTCTTCTGCAATACAAGAAAAAATAAAACTCTCTCATTTTAGTAAATGAAATTAAGGACACCGTAAAACTAAAAGATAAGTCAAATGTATGCATATAAATGTAAGAAAGTCCAATAATAACATCTTATGGTGTTATTTTCAGTGCACAATTCAATTGATCACATTTAATAATATTCTAGACAACACTGATCAACAATTTCCTCTTTTGTAGTACAGTGTGGGAGGGTTCTTCCTTTATTTTTTTTTTTTTAACCCATTTCAAGATGTGTTTTTCTGTGCCACTTCTGTGACATGTCTAGCTTATATTCTTTGTCGTCTACTTAAAACAACTGTTTATTCCAAAGTAAAATTGGAAATTATGTTTGGAATTGATCAAAGTATTTTTACAAGGTGCCCCGCGATAAAAAAAATCTCACTTAATATCTTAAATGTGGACTTCGGCATTAACGTCCTACTGGTTTCCCACACAGCTATGACTTGAAATTAGTTGGGCTTAACCAGACTATTTTTTACAAGCATTATTAGACAGCTTGGAAAAAAATACAAATTCAGAAGATCTTAAGTGCACGTAAATTGTAAGAATCTTAAAAAAACATAACAAATGAAACCAAAAAAATCGCCAAAAGTTCTCAATCACAAATTCTGTTTAACCAAGAAATTATATGCTGTGAATTCCACTCACAGTTGAAAATGAACACCATCTTGTGCCATGCAAAAGTACAACAAAAGATTTATAGCTATGTGAACTCCTCATATGAGAAGTAGGAAGCATATCCTACCTTGTGTATAGTTGAGATCCGCATTTAGAAATTGAAAATGAATAGGATTAAGATAACTTGCGTCAATGTCACCTGCTGTGCAAATAGCTCAGTAGTTTAAATGCAAACGCACAAGCTTAAAAGTCACCTCATTCATTCATATTATGAAACCTAATAACTTCACAATTAGTTCGCATTTACAGTAACAAGATTTCAATGCAAAACATTGATGTGAGACTCTAACAATTACAGTAGGTTCATCGTGTTTTTACTTTGATGACAATATCTGACACTAGGGAATATTTATACGGTTCTACATTATGAAACCTAATAACTTCACAATTACTTGTAACATCTCAAACTCTGAGTGACATGGCATTTACAGTAACAAGATTTCAATGCAAGAAATTGATGTGAAACTCTAACTTACAGTAGCTTTATTGTGTTTTTACTTTGATGATAATATTTGACACAAGTAAATATTTATTTAATATTCTATAAAATGATCTAGGCAGTGTTTCTTTAGAATCTGGCCCAAAAATGCAAATTAATTAGGTGTTAAAACTCACAGAAAAGCTTCAATTTTTTTAAACGTTAATAATTTCTGCCGTTCATCGCGAGTAGTTGTAACTTTCCACCAATAAACAATCCATGATGTCATTCCAGTCCTTCTGCTCATATTCTAGTCTATATTTCTATGAGCAGAAGGGGATCACGTGGCTAAGTGGGTAAGACGCTGGCTCGCTAGCCTTGAGGTCGGGTGTTCGATCCCTGCATTGGCCGGGAAAGTTCATCAAGATTTTCCGGCGTGGTTCTCCCTTGTCAGTGATGCAGGACGGAGGGGCTGACAAGGAAAGCTGTCTAGTCGTTCGGATGGGACGAAAAACCGAGGTCCCGTGTACACATTGGCGTGCACGTAAAAGATCCCTTGGCAGATGGAATTCGATATAAGAGTAGGCCGTAGTGCCGCTGTCCGGGCAAAATTTCCCTCACAGCACACTGTATGGCGTATGCCCGTCTTCATTAGCCCAGTTCGGAGCAAAACAATAGGACGTTAAACCCCGTTTCATTTCATTTCATTTCATTTCTATGAGCAGAAGGACTAAAATGACGCCACGGAATGTTTATTGACGGAAAGTTACGATTACCCTCGGAGAACGGCGGAAATTATTAATGTTGAAATTTACATGTTGCAGGTAATATTGACATTCGGGTTCATGTTATACTTATGGAAAGGATATGTGGAAATAATTACTTGCATTATTCAAAAAATTTAAGAAGCTTTTCTGGTGACTTTTAATTCAAAACTGCAAATTAATAAGGTGTTACATCTAATACAATCCTTATTAAATTACTGTTTAGAAAAGCAAAGATCCCTTGGCCTTTTAACTACACCCATTGTACAGTTTATATATAATACAGTTAACTAGTTGAAACCAGTAGCACAAGCAGTCTTAGCACAAGCAGTCTACAATGTATTATTGATTGAATGTTACCATTTATAGATTTCTAGAAAAGCATGGAATGCAACGTGATTCCTCTCATATACCAATCTATATCACAAGGTTATAATTCCAAGTATAGGAAAGAAATGTGAATGATGTTTTTCTGACATTTTATAAGATATCTGACAAACACATTTTTTTTAAATCAATAATGTTGATAGTCTAGCAAAGGTAGCAAATTACAGATTTTAAAAAAATAAAATCGATTCATTGCACAAAATATATCTTTGCATGAGATCTAAGGTCACTTATGATGCTTCAAAATATTTATTTTATCAGCAAATAGAAATACCTTTTAATAAAATATGATCACTCACCATGATTTATTTTTCGAATTCTTTCTAGCACCTGTTCTAATGTGGATAATGTTCCTCCATGTTTACCCTTTGATTTACTCAAATTTGACATCAAAGCCTTGATTTCATTTAAGCAATCTTTCACTTTCTCCCTTTTCATTTGCTTGTATTTCTGATGTTTGTCAATTCCACTGCTGCTTGAGAACAAAATAAACCATGATGATTACAATAGCAATTTAAATTTATCTTGATAGTATCATGAAATCATGCCAATTGAGCAAAATTATAAAATGAAAAAAAGATGTGTGCCTATATGTAACTCCAGTTTGATTTCAATTCATATTTACATTTATCATTCATACCATTGCTTTTAAAATGACATTATGACCATAAAACAGGTTGCCAGGCAACAGAACAAACAACAAAAGCCAGTAAAAGTCACCCAATCAGTCCATAAAGACTGTATATTTAATTCTTTTCAAGGGCAACAACCACAGAAGTAACTATCAGAAAAACTAAAATTTGATATTTCCCAGTTTTTCATATCAGTAACATAAATAGAATATGTACCGGTTATTATATTATGTATCAGCTGTCCAGTTATTGAAAACCATTGAAATTCAATAGGCTTCTTCGCAAAAGAAACACTACAGGGTATCGATAAATTTCCAACTAATCAATAATAATTTCAGCTTGTTCGAGTTGAGAGCATCCACAATAGTACACTACCTATTTTCAAAGCGATCAAGTACTATAATTTTAACAGTAATAATCAAAGATAGGTTGCCAGGCAACGAAACATACGCCCACAGCAGCTAAATCGGCCGGGCAGTCAACAAGAGTTGTCGCATATTTTTACTTTTTTCGGTAATGAAACATTTATAATACATTAAAATCTGATTAAGAGCAACAACTCAGAAAACCATTAGAATTTGTTTGGTTTTTATAAAGTTCTGCCCCATGCTAACGTTTTGTATACAAAACTTTTAACACTGTATCATGGATTTAGCTGTTCCAAGTCATAAAAATTCATTGAAAATCAATATACTTGTCCGCCTCAAGATCTTAAACTCTGTGTATCAATCTGAAGTCAATCGGATATTAACTTTGGCCTCTAGAGCATCCACAAGATTTTTCAAAGTGATCAAGGGCCATAACTTTGGCAGTAATTATCAGAAATCTTTGAAAATCAATAGGATTCTTCGCCTCGTGACCTCAAACACTGTGTATAAATTTAAAGTCAATGAGATTAACTTTAGCCTTTAGAGCGTCCACAAGGTTTTTTGAAGTGATCGAGGGCCATAACTCTGGCAGTAATTATCGAAAATCACTGAAAATGAATAGACTTCTTCGTCTCATGACCTTAAACACTGTGTATAAATTTAAAGTCAAACGGATATTAACTTTGGCCTCTAGAGCGTCCACAAGATTTTTTGAAGTGATCAAGGGCCATAACTCTGGCAGTAATTATCGGAAATCGCTGAAAATCAATAGGCTTCTTCGTCTCATGGCCTTAAACACTGTATATAAATTTAAAGTCAATCGGATATTAACTTTTGTGGACGCCGGACCGATGGACGGACGGGGGCGACGAATATATACGACCACATTTCAATGTGGGCGTATAAAAACTGTTGAAAATCAATTGGGGAACATGAAGCCAAACACTGTGTATAAATATAAGTCATTTGGATGAGAACTATAACAGGACAGTTTCTCTCATAGCACACTACATGGCATATTCCTGTCTTCTTCAGTTTGGTTGTTGCATAAAAGTAAGACATTCATTTCCTTGTGTGTGTATGAAAATGAAGCAATGAAATATTATATATATTTATATGTGATGTTATTAACAACCACAAGATAGTACACAATTAAAAAATTCTCAGTGAATGTTAGCTATTGGAAAGCCAAAGTTAGGCCTACCTGAGAAGAATTATCTCAAGTGATACATAACTTTGGGGTGGGGGTGATTTGTTGTGGGAGTTTGCAGGTTGGTGGGTAGGCATTTAGGTAATGATTATTTTCTTCCTGATGTATATATATTGTGCTGGTAAAATGGTGGACTTTGATGGATGGTTAAGGGCACTGAGTAGTCTAAGATACACACTAACTTTTCAACATCAATCTTATTAAAATTTTGCTTACTTGTTCCATGTGTAAAATATCTCAAAGGACACATAACAGTCCGACTGTTTGTTGTGTAATAATGGAGATACACATGGAAATAAATAAACTATTTATAGCAAACGAAAAGCTTTCCCTGACCTAGATCAGTTCTTGAATAAATTATGACCTCGTACACATCACGTCATCCACAGTAAAAAATAATGGCTGCCTCCAGCAACAGTTTCACACCGGTCCATTGACGTCTATCTATATATGACATCAGAAGGAATTCCCTCCAAGACGCGATTTTCCAGGTCTACTATATATCAGGAACCTCACAGAATTTCTTCTTTTGATGGTCGAAGACTACCATTTTTGAATGTATTTAGGATTTTGAGAGTGGCGGAATAGTGTACAGAAGTAAATATTTACTTTTTACATCCTAAATTGTTGTATTTTAAAACTTGTTGTGGATGCATTCAAAGAATTACTGAACATCAAAAGCTCTTTTGAAGGTAAATAATGAACAAATATTTCAAAATATTTCGAGTATATAATTTTTAAAGTTTTTGGAGTAGAAATGTCGCTTATAACCTGTACTTTTGATCTAAGGAAGGGATTATCGATATTTCTTTTTAGTATGAACTTATATAATTTCCATAACAACTCATCATTATTTTTGCCTTTCCATGGATACCAGACAAACATGGCAAATGGAGGAATGGGGGGGGGGGGGGAGGTCATTGATTAGTAATAAGAATTAGAAGGAAAAGTACCTCTTTAATGTCCAGAAGAAAATTAAATTACAAACCTACAACCACTTGTGGACATTTCTTGCTGGAAGTCGTTACTTGTGTTGGATATACTTATACTGCTTAAGCTTCTGTAAGAGAATATAACCATATAATCTTTAAATGACATTTAGCAATTGAACATAATATAAAACAACACAGTTTTATGAATAACAACCATTTTACTACACAAGACATTTCTACAAGGTTTTACTAGTCATTCTCAAGCATACAAAATTACAAATCTAGAACGCTCAGTGAAACCTTGTTATGAGTATATAATATCTTGATTGTTATCCATAGAACTGTGTAGTCTTAAAATATTATACATGTGTAGTAATGATCCAACCATCAAGACCAACTGTCTTCATATGGAGGAGCTAAAGTGATCTTTCTAATTAATTATATGTTGTTGACATGGAGAAAATATTTTATCAAAAAAAATTTCCAGCTTACTCCACAGCCTGTGTCCTCGTTTCACTGCTGCATGAATAACCATATCCAGTTGATTCTGAGTTCTTGGACGCTTGTTCTTGTCTTGCGTCATCCATATTGATACTGGTGCCTGAACTTGCACTATTAGATGTGGTCTCAGAAACTAGAATTAAAATAAAATTTCAGAAATATTATTATTTAAAAAATTAAAAGTAGAACATAGTTATAGTAAGAAAGACATATATAAATCAACTTCACTGTTGTAAATGGAATTATATAATTTGGATCTGTGCTGTGTGCAGATCGGCAATTTGAGAACAATGGTGGCTGTGGTCTTTGCATCTTTCTGCGCTAAATACATGTATATTGCACATGTAAAGACAATTTGCATTCTGCTTATTAGGATATGTACATGTACTTCATCATACACAGGACCTACATGTATATAATTACATGTATATTTGTTACAACCTGCAATCTGGCCTTCCATGTTCTATTTAAAATTAAAGGCACAACACGCCAGATTTTTAACATTATATCAAAAATATGTACGACCGGTATGTACTACTACTGGTACATGGATTTTAATAAACACTGTTGTTATTATGCAATTCATAAAGAATGGATTGGCTTGTATTATGTAATGAACAAATTATGATTTATTTGGGAAAGATACATTAAACATACATTATGCAAGAGCTTAATCTGCCTATTGCGGGTCTTTCTTTAGGCCTAAAATGTTATCTAAATTATTAACTAGACATTAATTAACGTATCCAGACCATAATCAACTCTCGATGTCAACACTAGCCTGCAATGTTTACTGGATTAGGATACCATTTGCTGCTCCACTTTATTCTTAATTTAATCATGAAATGGATAATAGAGACTGCATTTTTTAACGTACTGACTTTAGTAATGATGATCGAGGCTAGGCCGAAAATTCAATCACTAAAATCTTGTTTCAGAGTGTATCAATTTGACTGAAATTTTCAGCAAATTCCCTTTACATTATCTAGTTTTTACTACTTTAGTGAGAACTGCCAGCTCTTTATCTAATCTCCCATAATGTATCTTTAAGTTGGCAGTGTGAAATCAACAGAGACCAAAGTTAATTTTTAATGGCAAAAACTTATGCAAGTTGGAATTTAAATACGTTTTGGACAAACTGTTTTGAATGTGTACAGATTTAAGCTATTCAGCCTTTATTCTGGCATGTTGGTGCTTTAATTTCTTTGTATAATAAGTGTACATGTAGCTATCCTAAACCTGTAGAGAGCAACAAATATAGGGGATATGGCACAGGTCCCGATACATGTGAAAAGATACATTGACTTACATGTATGTATCCCCCTAAACAATATCTTTTTGTTTTAAAGTTGATATCCTAAATTGTTTTGTGGAATTGAACAATTGAAAGCTAGTTGATAAAATCCATTGAATTTGGCACATCAGTCTGTTTTTTCAAAACTTCACGGAATCGAATTCCTCAGTTCAGATACTGTTTTTTGTTTAATAACACAACACAATTCTCAATGAAGTCTTTTTTTCACACAGTTATTGTTTGTTATTGAGAATGTCTGGATACAGGATATGGCATACAGACTTTACTGAAACCAATACATACAGTATGTGAAAATCGAGAAAAATTCACACATACATGTAAGCTTACACACATTTACAACCATTCTTAAAGGGCCAGGTTTTCTTACAATAACAAAGTGCCATTTTGATTAGGTCTCATGATTTTTGTTGTACATTTACATGTAAAATAGATAAAGACTTTCTCTTCAAATAAAACACACAAAACAGGTTTTAGTACCGGTAGTATCAAATGTTATTTATTATTGATTAAGCATTTAAATAGAAGGTATTTTATGGAACTAGACAAATTCCCAATCGTCGTCCCCATGACAATTTCGGGGGGTCAAATTGTCTCCTAACAAAACTGGTTGACATCTGATTGACTATTAACAGAATTATCAAAAACAAATGTGTTATCAATATGATTTATTTCAATTCTTACATTTGTATTGCCTCAGTGAAACATTACAACTCTGAGCTAAGTTGAGTTCTAAGGTCGACATCGCCATGAGTTATATAATTTTACATCTGTATAAACTGAGGTCAACAAATGTCAGAAATTTTATTTTTTTACATCTGATTAGACTAAGTTTTAAGAGTTTAATACTTTATTTACTAGACCGATAAAAGCTTTAATTTCTGACTCGTTAAATTCAACACAGATTTTGATTAAATACATTCTATTGTGACTGGCCAACACAAGGTCGACTTTCCAATAAAAAAAAGCAAATATTTGAAAGGTTTTGGTTTTGAATATCAAGACATTTGACTGTCTAATCATTGTCAACAGTATTTATAATGCTGCTGTCATAACCTATGTCTTCAGGTGTTACCGATTAAAAAAGAACAAAAACAACTTTTAATTCCAATTAGATTGGATTCAATGCTAATAATTACATTTAATTTAATACATTTATTTTCCATTCTAACCAACCGAGTTTTGTACTTTAAATGAAGAGTGTTCTGGGGGCTTATCCATAACAGAATTTTAAAATAGTAATGTACACAACAACCAACAGAAGACCTTTGTAAATCACATTTTGTTAAATTACTAAAATGATGTAAAGGGAAGAAAAACTGGTCCTTCAAGATCATTTTATAAGAAATGAAGTGAGACTGATTGTTTTATAGCCTGTTAACACTAAAATCAATCCATTAAATCAATCATAAATCAAGCATTACAAGATGGTCAGTTTTCAAATTAGAATCCAATGAATGAATCTATCATTTTTTCTAAAATGTCAGTACAATTGAGATTGCAGGATATAACAGTGACACAGTTTGATGTAAATATATGATCCCAAAGATAGATTTATAATCTAAATAATTCATATTGTGGATTTTACATAAAATCAAAACACCCTAAGATGCTCACCAGCAGCCAAGTCATCAATATTACTAGATATAAAAGCAATATGCACAGAGCACAAAAATTGAGCGCATTAAGATTGGTACATTGTAGATATATGTGCATGACAGTCTTTTGTTTTGATACACTAGAAAGTTAATTTTTTAAAAATTGCTCTAAATTTTCAGTGTGTATGTACCATGGAGGTTTATATATTGACTAGAGTGTATGGTGGTCACGACTCACATGATCGCATGCCGACTATGGAGGTTGGCAACCATTTTACACCCGGGAAGATTGAGCCTACATTGTACATTGGCATATACCAACATCAACATGCCGGACAGTTGTTGTTGTTTTGGTAAATTCAATGTCAGGCGAAAAGGGAGTGGATTATCATTTCATAAGTAGGCATGATAAGTTATAAGTGAAATAGTGATCTAATAGATATAGTATAATCATGATAATAGTGTAAAATAATTTAATAAACACGGTGAAAAGACGTTGAACACTCAAAGCTTAAGGCCGAAAAACCGGGCGGGTCCATTCACTTAATTTATTAGTATTGATACTTTTATTATGTAATAATTACAATGTCCGTGTGTTTAGCCAACTTCAAAATTAATGTATATTTAATTATTATGGAAATTGTGCATCTACATACACATCTGGCATTGTATAAATTTAAACTCAATCGGATATTAACTTTAGCCTCTTGAGTGTCCACAAGATTTTTTCAAAGTGATCAAGGGCGATAACTCTGGTAGTAACTATCGGAAATCGCTGAAAATCAATAGGGTTCTTTGTCTCATGACCTTAAACACTGTGTATAAATTTAAAGTCAATCGGATATTAACTTTGACCTCTAGAGCGCCCACAAAATTTTTTGAACTGATCAAGGGCCATAACTCTGGAAGTAATTATCAGAAATTGCTGAAAATCAATAGGCTTCTTCGACTCATGACCTTAAACACTGTGTATAAATTTAAAGTCAATCGGATATTGACTTTGACCTCTAGAGCGTCCACAAGACTTTTTGAAGTGATAAAGAGCCATAACTCTGGCAGTAATTATTGGAAATAGCTGAAAATCAATAGCCTTCTTTGTCTCATGACCTTAAACACTGTGTATAAATTTGAAGTCAATCGGATATTAACTTTAGCCTCTTGTGGACGCCGGACCGACAATTTACGACCACATTTCAATGTGGGCGTATAAAAATGGTGAAAACTTCATTCCCAGTCAAATTTTGTAAATAAATTAGGCCTGATATTTTTTTCTAATCGGTGCTACTACTAAAATCTCATTAAGTTAGTCTTATTTTTTTGTAAAATTTAATATACTGCTGTATTTTTCAACCAAAGAATGGAAATTGAAAACCATATGAGCCTACTAAGGCCTTGCTAGCCCTGTTGATATTTTCCTTTTTTTTTAAATATTTCCCATCTTCATCAGATATTATTCTACTCGTAAATGATAGAAGTATTATTTATTTATTTATCGCCCATTATCATCTTGATGATGTTATAGTTATCTGTCAATCAAGCAGTCCTTTCATTTCAAATCGTCAAACAAATTATTTAGATCTATCCAAAATAAAGTTTTATGTGAACTACGAGGAGCAATGTTCAAAATTTAGACGAACACTTTATAGATCTTGACATTCGAGGACGTTCACTTTTCTCAATTAATATTAATAATAAAATAAACATGATTTCGTCAGGTCTGCATTACAATTTACACCATATCCACGGTTTTCATTATGCTTTATGATGATTATGAATTATGATAAGAGTTATTCTTAATTATAAAAGTCTCAAAAATATACCAGTTGACCAAAACAATTTTGTTTTTAGGACAGTAAGGTAAGACCTTTCAATCATCATTATTTGGTTGACATTGTTGAATTAGAAGTGTTTTTCTAATGGGCTTGGCCTTCCTCCGTCAGTCTATTTTCCTTTATTTACATAACGTTCATCCGTTCTTTCTCGGTTGAAACATGGCGGTCGGTCTCCAGTGACGGCCCACAGCGTTAACGTTACGTCAATGGGGATCACGTGACCACAATACACTCTAGTCAATACACCTCTATGGTATGTACATACATGTAGGTAAATAAAAGTTTACCAAAATATGTATGTGCCTACAATTTCTAATAATTACAAACACTTTTAAAAAATTCAGATACATGTAGCTGTTTATACAATGTATGGTTCATAAAATCTGTTTAAAAGTCATAAATAATCAAAAATTAAGAAAATTAAATGAAAACAATATTTCTCTTAACTAAAAGACTGGAAAAGCACTATCACAAGAGGCACATGTCAGCACAGCTTATAATACATGTGCAATATAGGTCATGTGTACAGCAATATACTAAACACGGCTAATATTGTCAATGATGTCATAGTATAAATGAAATCGGGTGTTTAACCTCTAACATATACAGGTATGTTCTTTTCTGCATCAACTGTGCTAATGAAGACAGTGTGCAATGACTATGTGCGAAATTTTGTTTAGACAGATGTGCAACAGAATTCTTTTATTTAATAACATAGAGCTTGGTTTATTGTAGTACACATTTTTCTTGCCAGAAGCTTCCTCCTGCAGCACTGGGGAACCAGGCTTAAAAATCCTGAGGTAAAATGTACGTACTGTGAGCCAAAACCAGATCGAACTCGTACATGTAGTTACAATGGTGGCTAGTGATGACATTTTTCCGTTTATTTTACCAACATTTGATAAAATTTCATCAAAAACATTGTATAAATATCACTAGTTTAACTATTTGTGAAGAATTATCCCAGTCTTTACACATATTTTAAATTGATTTTAAACCTGAAATCTGTAGGCCTATAGAGTAAAATTCTTTGAGAATCTAATTTTGTGTCTTATGACTGAAAACAGGGCCCTACTTTACCTTATCTGTGAGGGGAATAATTTTGTAGATGGTTCGAGTAGCTAACAGAATTATATTCACTTCTGCTGTGCCTTTCAATGAGAAAATGAAATGATATTTAACCGGACTAATGAAGACGACATACGCTATGAGGGAAATTTTGCCAGGAGAGTGTCGCTAAGGCCTACACTTACATCAAATTCCAACTGCCAAGGATTCTTTTATGTGCACGTCAATGTGTACAGGAGACCTTTGTTTTCTGTCCCACCCGAACGACTTTACATTTGCCCTTGCCAATGCACCACTGAGATTTCTCAGTCAAAACTGGGATCAAACATGTCTTACTCACTGAGCCACCATGGTTCCGGCATTCTATTAAAATTTCTAAGCTTCATATATAATATTATGGTAAGGCTTGTTATATGAACATTTTGGGGGCATAATTACTGATATGTAAACTAAAATAGGATCAATATCGAACAAACATGGCCATGGATGGAATCAAACAGGTCTTACTCACTGAGCCACCGTGACTCCTGCATTCTATGCTTCATATGAATCCTAGATGACTCGGGACCAAGTTCACTCGGTACCCCCATTTTGAGATCACTCGGGACCTACTGGTTTTATGGTAGATTAGTGTATGCGTGGACCCGGTGGTGTTAATTAGAGTGTTAATTAATGTATTTCTGTGTATTGTCAATTATATATGCTTAATTAATTATTACTATTAAATGTTTTTGATGGTTTCAACGATGTTTTGATGAACATGGAGTTGTTAAATAAAAGTATTAAATCCGTTGTTGATTAATTAATTAATTATTACTATTAAATGTTTTTGATGGTTTCAACGATGTTTTGATGAACATGGAGTTGTTAAATTAAAGTATGAAATTCGTTGCTTGATTGTTATGTTTGAGTAGTCTATAAAACATCAAACTAATTCAAATTACTCACAAGCCTAGAATTGGTATATAATT